AAATTAGCCGGGCATGGTGGCACATGCCTGTAATCCCAGCTACTTGGGAGGCTGAGGCAGGAGAATCGCTTGAATCCAGGTGGCAGAGGTTGTGGTGAGCCAAGATCGTGCCATTGCACTCTAGCCTGGGCAACAAGAGCAAAACTCCGTTTAAAAAAAAAAAAAAAAAAAAAATTGTGAAAGAACACCCTTAGAAAAAGGGTTACATAAAATGTAAATGTGTACTGTAGTGAAACTGCGAAATGAACATCCATGATCAACAACCCAGGTCCAGTAGTAGAGCATGTCCCCCGCCCCACCTGGACTCGCTGTGTGTCACTTTTTTTTTTTTTTTTTTTTTGAGACAGAGCCTTGCTCTGTCACCCAGGCTGGAGAGCAGTGGTGTGCTCTCGGCTCACTGCAGCCTCTGCCTCCCAGGTTCAAGTGATTGTCCTGCTTCAGCCTTCCGAGTAGTTGGGATTATAGGCATACATTACCATGCCTGGCTAATTTTTGTATTTTTAGTAGAATCGGGGTTTCACCATGTTGGCCAGGCTAGTCTTGAGCTCCTGACCTCAGGTGATCCTCCTGCCTCGGCCTCCCAAAGTGCTGGGATTACAGACATGAGCCACTGCGCCTGACCTGCAGCATGTCACTTTTGGCCCTCACCTCTCCACCTTAGGGCGCAGCTTTACATAATCCAGTTTATGGCTTTGTTTTTCATCTTTAGGTCTTGAATCCACTTAAGATGGATTTTGTATTGACATGGGGTAAGAGGTCCTCCTCCTCCAATGTGAGTGTCTTGGCACCATTTATTTCCCCCTCTACTTGCGGCGCCCACTGTCTCATAGGCTGCATGTGCGGCGGATGTGCCAACTTCCCAGGCTTCGGCTTGGGACAGAAACACTGTCGCTGTGCCTTGCTGTGTGGACAGAGTCACACTGGCTGAGCACTTCTGTGAGAGGAATGGCAGAGCCCCTCCTTGACTCCATCTGTATGAATTATCATGGTGCCCCCACCATGTCCCTATCCCTGTCCCCTGCCTCGCTTTTTGTCAGAACATCTCCCCTGACATAGTGTGCCTTGACTTACTGCTGTGCAGTGTAGGAAAGCAGAGGCACTGTCTCTCATGTTTCATCCCTATCGCAGCACACAGGAGGGGACGATTCAGCAAGTGGGTCAGTGGGCCAGCAACCGGTATGCCTCATTGTTGTCTCAGGCCTGGCTTAGAGAAGCAGGCGGTGTTTGGTATCTTATCAGTGTGCTCAAAAAATATTCACTGGCTTGGAACTAAGTGAAATAACTTGTGAGTCAGTGCCATGCCTTTTACATGGCTTGTTTGTAGGAAAAAACTTCTAGATGAGTTTGGATGCCACTGTTGGTGTTTGTGAAAAGTATGCTTTTTTTTTTTTCCTATTTCTTTTTTGTGTAGTTGTGTTGTGACAAATATTATTATTTGGATAAAGTAGAAAACTAAGATAAAAGTTAAATGTTATGGCTGGGCACAGTGGCTCCTGCCTGTAATCCCAGCACTTTGGGAGACTGAGGTGGGAGGATCACTTGAGGTCAGAAGTTTGAGACCAGCCTGGGCAACAAGGCTATCTCTACTAAAAATGCAAAAATTAGCCGGGCATAGTGGTGGGTATTTGTAATCCCAGCTACTCAGGAGGCTGAGGCAGGAGAATCGCTTGAACCTGGGAGGCGGAGGTTGCAGTGAGCCGAGATCATGCCACCGCACTCCAGCCTGGGCAACACAGCAAGACTCCGCCTCAAAAAAGGGTTAAATATTAGGAATAGATTTATTAAACATGCTTTTTCAAAATTATTAATAAAAGTCAACTTTTATTTTTTTGAGACAAGGTTTCACTCTGTTGCCCAGGCTTGAGTGTAGTGGCGCAATCTCAGCTGATTGTAACCTCTGCCTCCCAGGATTGAGTGATTCTCCTGCCTTAGCCTCCCGAGTATCTGGGATCACAGGTGTGTGTCACCACACCCGGCTAACTTTTGTATTTTTAGTAGACATGGGGTTTTACCATGTTGGCCAGGCTGGTCTTGAACTCCTGACCTCAAATGATCCACCTGGCTCGGCCTCCCAAAGTGCTAGGATTACAGGTATGAGCCACCGTGCCCAGCGTAAAAGTCAGCTTTTATAAATTATTTGGAAACTAGCTGACTTAATTTACTCTAAGTAAAAATTGGAAAAACAGTTTGCCTGTGTGATTGGCCTCTCTGATCACCTGAAGACTTCTTTTGATTTGTCCTCATCAAAATCAAATGCAATGTTTTGCACATAGTATTTAACAAGTAAAATTATTAATTAAAAAAGCTTCTTACTGTGGGTGAAAAAACCCAAGATTACTATAAAATAGACTTTTCAGAAATTCAGAGACATCTGTTGTGCTGGATACTGTAGAGATGCTTGTGTAGTTGTGGCCTCAGCTCCGGGAAAGCTGGACAGTCACACCCATAGTAAATTGGTAGCAGTAGAGTGGGGCACTGCTGAAAAGATACCCAAAATGTGGAAGCAACTTGTTACTCAGTAAAAAGGCAGATGATGGAACAGTTTGGAGGGACTAGAAGGAGACAGGAAAATGTGGGAAAGTTTGGAACTTCCTAGAGATTTGTTGAATGGCTTTGAACAAAATGCTGATAGTGATATGGAGAATGAAATCCAGGCTGAGGTGGTTTCAGATGGAGATGAAGAACTTGTTGGAAACTGGAATATAGGTGACTCTTGTTATGTTTTAGCAAAGAGACTGATGCCTTTTTTGCCCTGCCCTAAAGATTTGTGGAAGTTTGAACTTGAACGAGATGATTTAGGGTATCTGATGGAAGAAATGTCTAAGCAGCAAAGCATTCAAGAGGTATCTTGGGTTCTGTTAAAGGCATTCAGTTTTAAAAGGGAAACAGAACAGAGCATAAAAGTTTGGAAAATTTGCAGCCTAACAATGCAATAGAAAAGAAAATCCCATTTTCTGAGAAGTTCAAGTCAGCTGCATAAATATACATAAGTAATGAGGAGCCAAATGTTAATCCCCAAGACAATGGGGAAGATATCTCCAGGGCATGTCAGAGGTCTTCACGGCAGCCCCTCCCATCATAGGCCTGGAGGCCTACCAGGAAAAAGTGGTTTCGTGGGTCGGGCTTAGGGCCCCTCTGCTGTGTGCAGCCTAGGGACTTGGTGCCCTGTCTCCCAGCTGCTCCAGCTGTGGCTGAAGGAGGCCAACAAAGAGCTCATGCCATGGCTTCAGAGGGTACAAGCCTCAAGCCTTGGCAGCTCCCACATGTTGAGGCTGCGGGTGCACAGAAGTCAAGAATTGGGGTTTGGGAACCTCTGCCTAAATTTCAGAAGATGTGTGGTAATGCCTGGATGTCAGGGTAGAAGTTTGCGGCAGGGGCGGGGCTGTCATGGAGAACCTCTGCTAGAGCAGTGCAGAAGGGAAATGTGGGGTTCAAGCCTCCATGCAGAGCCCCAACTGGGGCACCACCTAATGGAGCTGTGAGAAGAGGGCCATTGTCTTCCAGACCCCGGAATGATAGATCCACCGACAGCTTGTACCATGCACCTGGAAAAGCCACAGACACTCAGTGCCAGCCCATGAAAGCAGCCAGGAGGGAGGTTGTACCCTGCAAAGCCACAGGGGTGGAACTGCGCAAGACCGTGGGAACTCACCTCTTGCATCAGCGTGACCTGGATGTAAGACATAGAGTCAAAGAAGATCATTTTGGAGCTTTAAGATTTGACTAACCCGCTGGATTTTGGACTTGCTTGGGACCTGTGGCCCCTTTATTTTGGCCGATTTCTCACATTTGGAAGACTGTGTTTACCCAATGCCTGTACCCCCATTGTATCTAGGAAGTAACTAACTTGCTTTGCGACTTGGCACTGTGGACTTTTGAGTTAATGCCGAAATGAGTAAAGACTTTGGGGGTACTGTTGGGAAGGCGTGATTGTGTTTTGAAATGTGAGGACATGAGATTTGGGAGGGGCCAGAGGCAGAATGATATGGTTTAGCTGTGTCCCCACCTGAATCTCATTTTGAATTCTCATCTGTTGTGGGGGGGACCAGTGGGAGGTAATTGAATCATGGGGGCAGGTCCTTCCTGTGCTGTTCTTACGATAGTAAGTCTCATGAAATCTGATGGTTCTGTAAGGGAGAGTTTCCTTGCACAAGCTCTCTCTCTTTGCCTGCTGCCATCCATGTAAGATGTGACTTGCTCCTCCTTGCCTTCTGCCATGATTGTGAGGCTTCCCCAGCCATGTGGAACTGTAAGTCCAGTAAACCTCTTTCTTTTGTAAACTACCCAGTCTTGGGTATGTCTTTATCAGCAGCGTGAAGATGGACTAATGCACAGCCTGACTTGGGGAGTTCGCCGCTTGTGGTTGGTGCCCAGTATTTGGTAACAGTGCCTGAGGGGCAAGTTTACATTATCTGGTCTTGGTGTCGTTGCTTTAATGGACAAAATAGTCAAGGAATCCCTAAACCTTGGTAGACGGATACCTCATCATGTGGTAATGTTATCACCACACATTGGTAGATATGGATGTGATGTTACAGTTTTCTGGTACTTTTGATATACAAGGTAACTTTTCACACATGAAATCTTAGGGAAATCTTAGTGCTCTTTGAGGTAGGGTTTTGAAAGAGGGGAAGGGCACTGGCTTTGAGATCAGGAACTCCTCCTGGGTTCCATAGACCTTCGGTGTAACTTAATTGATGTCTTCAAAATAGACATCCTGCTGAACACACTGCCTGTGCATGTCTGGGCTCTCTGAGCCATTCTTGCTCTGGTGACTGGGCGAGGAAATTGATGAGTATGGTACTTCATGTGTCCGCTGTCCTGAGCAGTGCTTGGCACACAGCACGTGTTCAGACATTGCTGCTAATAAAAACCAAGAACTTTTATTTAGAGAGTTTGTTACAGTGTTGTACTAACAATGAGAGCCACTCCCATCCAACCCCAGTTTTCTTCTGTAATCCTGTTTTGGTATTGTGACTTTTTTCTTTCACTATTTTTAGCTCTCTCCTCATCTCCTGGAGGAACCGGTGATAACTAAGGATATATATGAAGTTGCTATCTCTCTCATTCAGATGTTTGATGACTTGGATATGAAGGAGAATGGGTAAGAGACACTTCAGTTGGTAATGCACTTTAATGTATATGTGATTTAAAAAATTATTCATTTGGAAACTTTTTAGTGTTTTTATAAGAAGGTTATAACTATAGGTACTTTTTCAGTAGTTACTGTACATATTTTAAAATCAGGTTAGTATTTCGGAATTTTTTAAATTGGAAATTTCTATTTTAAATAATTAAAGCCATGTTGAGTGCAGTTCCCAGCCTGGCAACAGAGCAAGACTCTGTCTCAAAAACAAAAACAAAAACAAACAAAAAACCTGTATATATATCGTATGATTGAGCCTTTACAGCACTAATTTTACTACATCTGTCTCCATAGTTTTGCCTTTTCCAGGATATCATGTAGTTGAAATTATGTAGTATGTGTCCTTTTCATGTTGCCTTCTTCTACTTAGTAATATGTATTTAGCTCCCTTTATGTCTTTTCATAGCTTAGATAGCTCATTTATTTTTAGTGCCAAATTCCATTGTCTGGATGTACCACAGTTTGTTCATTCATCTTCCAGATTTCCTGCTATGTTCTGCTTTAGCTGTGTCCCATTAGTTTCTGCTATGTTGTGTCTTCATTTTCATTCATCTCAGAGTATTTTCTGATTTCCGTTTTGATTTTTTCTTTGGTTTATTGCTTTTTAGGAGTGTGGTGTTTAATTTGCACATATTTGTGAATTTCTCCCTATTTTTCCTGTTATACATTTTGAATTTCATTCTATTGTGGTTGGAGAATTATTTCTGTTCTTTTAAATTTATTGAGGTTTGTTGTATGCCTAGCATGTAGACTGTTCTGGAGAATATTACATGTGCACTTGAGAATAATGTCACTCTGTTGTTGTTAGATGGAGTGTTCTATAAATGTCTTAGGTGTAGTTAACTTACTGTGTTGTTCAGGTCTTCTACTTCTTGATCTTCTGCCCGGTTGCTCTATATATTATTGAAAATGAGATAATGATATCCTCAACAATTGTTATTGAATTGCCTATTTCTTCAATCTTTTCTGTCAGTTTTTGCTTTATGTATTTTGGGTCTCTGTTGCTAGGTGCATATATGTTTATACCTGTTTTATCTTCCTGATTGATTCACCCCTTTATCAGTATAAAATGCCCCTCTTATCTCTCGTAACACTTAATTTTAAGACCTATTTTGTGTATTAGTATAGCTACTTCACTTTTCTGTAGTTTGCTGTTTGCATGACACATATTTTTTCATTCTTTTACTTTCAATCTACTTAGTGTCTTTGCATTTAAAGTGTATCTCCTGTAGACAACATATCCTGAGTGGGATCATATATATATATTTTTTTGAGATGGAGTCTTGCTCTGTCACCAGGCTGTAGTGCAGTGGTGTGATCTCGGCCCACTGCAGCCTCCGCCTCCTGGGTTCAAGTGATTCTCCTGCCTCAGCCTCCCGAGTAGCTGGGACTACAGGCACCCGCCACCATGCTCAGCTAAGTTTTGTATTTTTAGTAGACACGGGTTTCACCATGTTAGTCAGGATGGTCTTGATCTCTTGACCTCATGATCCACCCGCCTCGGCCTCCCAAAGTTCTGGGATTACAGGTATGACACCGTGCCCAGCCCCTATTTTTAAAATTAATCTAACAATCTCTGCCTTTTGATTGGGTTGTTTAATCCATTTACATTGTTTAATCCATTTACATTTAATTTTGTCACTGATATAGTTGAATTTATGTTGGCCATTTTGCTTTTTGCTTTCTGTGTGTCTCATATTCTTTTTGTTTCTCTGTTTCTCTTTTACTGCTTTCTTTTGCATTTAATACGTATTTTGCAATGTAGCATTTTACTTTTTTTTTTTTTTTTGAGACAAGTTCTCACTGTGTTGAGCAGGCTGGGTACATGGAGTGATCATGGCTCACAGCAGCCTTGACCCCCTGGGCTCAATTGATCCTCCCACCTCAGCCTCGTGAGTAGCTGGGACTACAGGTGCTTGCCACCATGCCCTGCTAATTTTTGTATCCGGTTACTTTTAAAATCGCCTAAGGAGAAGGAAGGAGGCAAAATATGTATTTACAGTATCTTTTGTCGTTACCTAATTACCTTTATCAGTTCTCTTTCTTCGTTCATGTGGATTTGAAATACTCTCTGGGGTCAGCTGTTTTCAGCACAAAAAACTTCCTTTAGTATTTCTAGTAAGGTGGGTCTGCTGCCAAAAAAAAATCTCTTTTTTTTGTTTATCTGGGACAGTCTTTTTTTTTTTGAGACGGAATTTCGCTCTTTTTGCCCAGGCTGGAGTGCAATGGTGTGATCTCAGCTCACCGCAACCTCCGCCTCCCAGGTTCAAGCGATTCTCTTGCTTCAGCCTCCTGAGTAGCTGGGATTACAGGCATGCACTACCATGCCTGGCTAATTTTGTATTTTTAGTAGAGATGGGGTTTCTCCTTGTTGGTCAGGCTGGTCTTGAACTCCCAACCTCAGGTGATCCACCCGCCTTGGCCTCCCAAAGTGCTGGGATTACAGGTGTGAGCCACTGCGCCTGGCCAAGGGACAATCTTTATTTAGTCTTCATTATTCAGAGTTTTACTGAATATAGGAATCTTGATTGACAATTCTGTCTTCCAGCACTCTGAATATGTCATCCCACTGCCTTCTGGCTTCCATTGTTTCTGCTGAGAATTCAGCTGTTAATCTTATTGGGGTTTTCTTTGTGTGTGGCATGTCATTTTTCTCTTGCTACTTTCAAGATTTCACCTTGTCCTTGAATTTCATTATGGCTTTTATGACTTCCTGTAGGACTGGCACAATAACTGAGCCTTTAATGGGCATTTCATCTTTCTTTTAAGCCAACTGCTTTTGGATGCATGGTAATACCATTGAATTTCGTGAGTCCATTGACCACTAAACTGAGTTCCTTGGCAGGAGGCCATGCTGTGCAGGAAATAATGGAAGCATCTTTAGGTCCATGGATGGGGGTATGACAGAAACTTTAGGTGCAGAGAAGGCAGATCTGAATCCAGAATTGGATCTGTGTCTATTTCCATGAAGGTAAATCAGTATCTCCTTCATGATGGAATCAACCTATCTTCAGCTGGCTGGACTGGTCCCCCAGGGAATTGTGCCATATTTGGGACTTGGTACTGGCCCTTGCTGTTGTGTGGTTGGCATCCAGTGATGGTAGCAGCCGGATGAGTCTCATCTCAGGAAAGTGCGTGGTGTTGAGTTTGTGTGTAAGCCTTCATCCATGCTACCCATCCACTCTGTGCATTGTCTAACCCTGGGGGTACTGGAGAAGGAGGCTGGGTCACATCCACAGGCAGGGCCTCCGGCCTGTCTGATGACTGAAAGCCTCCTTCACTGTGACTGCCTTGTGGGCATTTCTTGGTACCTCTCCATCAGATCTCCTTATTATCAGTCTTGCCATTTCCACATCCCTGACCAGCTGACCAACCTATTATTAGCCTCTGCTTGTTGATTGGGGTGAACCCAACCTCATGGCCATGTCTCCTTCCACCCGAAGTGGTACCACTGGATGGACTGCCTGACCTCTGCTCACTGGGAGGAGCTCCCTTCCCCACTCACTGTGTGTGAGCCTTTCCTCTGGGTGGGGCTGTGATGCAGCAGATGTTCACCTTGGCTGTTGCCAGCATCCCATGCAGGCCCATCTACAAACCAGGCCTGTGTTTTTTATGGTGGTGGCTGTTGCCTGAGGTCATACATGTGGCTCACACTCACAGGGAGAGATGGATGAGCAGCAGGAGCAGTGACCATGGACGCTGAGCCGCCTGTGCTGCAGCGACTGGTTTACTCCTCACACCCCTTTCTCCTTTGTAGTGACTGTTCCCAGGCATTGCCTGGATTGCCATCGCATGGCTTTTCCATGGCTCCCTCCTCAGCTCCTGTTACTTCCCCGGAGAGGCCCTTCCCAGCCAGCCGTTCTGAGAGCACTCCATACATATGCCTTCCCTTAGCACTGCTTATTGTGTTTCCCCAGGTGTTTCTTTTTGTCTTATTGCTAAACTGAAGGTGCCTTGCCTGTTTTCTTGTTTCTTGTCTGTCTCTCCAGTTAGGATGTAAGCTCCAAAGAGCAGGGAGCTTGTCTGTCTTGTTACTGCTGTATCCTGACTACACAGAGGAGGGCTTGGCATGTAGGAAGGGCTCACAGGTTTATGGAGGAATGAAAGTTCTAAATTCACACAAAAGTAAATTTATTGACAGTAGCAGGGAAGCGAGTAGATGATTTGAGATTTTGGTCTGTACAAATCCTTTCCAATAGTAGTTTGGACTCCTGAAAGTTTAAATTTTGCTTGTAGTTATTTTAAATGTTTTCTACTTTGAAGTTCCGGATTATAATAACTAAATTTCAAGGAAAACTTCTGCAGATAGTAAGTTTTGATAGGAGAAAGTATTGGGAGTCAAAAAGCTTAAGGTCCCCTGAATGACCATGGGGCCTTGGATGTTTTCTCATCTCTTTGGGCGTCTGTGTTTTCTTATGTACAATAAAGAACATTACACTGGATGACCTGTAAGAGCCTTTCAGGATTAAAAGCCTGTAATATTAGGATTGTAGAGAAGCAATAGCTGTTATTAGCCTTCGTTGATATTTGTGCACATCACATTTTTACCAGGAACAAGGCCTGGTCGGGTGCCCAGTTTGTGTTGGAGCGAAGCAGTGTGTTGGTGTTTTTGCCAGGTAAGAGCGTCATAATTTTGTGACTTGGAATCCTAATACTCTGGAGAGAGGCTAAGTTTCTGCCTAACAGAGATTATGAAAGACAGTGTTCTCCACAGGACTTTGTTCTTTTTACGCTTTGAGTATGTGAACAACTGTAACTTTCAGTTTGGCTTTTTATTATAATCTTTGTATTTCTTTTTTTTTTCCTTTCCTTTCCTTTTCCTTTTTCTAGGTGGAGTCTTGCTCTGTTGCCAGGCTGGAGTGCAGTGGCACGATCTGGGCTCACTGCAACCTCCTCCTCCTCAGTTCCAGTGATTCTCCTGCCTCAGCTTCCCAAGTAGCTGGGACTACAGGTGTACACCACTATGCCCGGCTAATTTTTGTATTTTTAGTAGAGATGAGGTTTCATCATGTTGGCCAGGATGGTCTCGATCTCTTGACCTTGTGATCTGCCCTCTGTGGCCTCCCAAAGTGCTGAGTTTACAGACGTGAGCCACTGTGCCCGGCCAACCCTTGTATTTCTAAAAAGATTTCTTATTAATAAATTATTAAGAGTTCAATTTTTTTTTTATTTTTTGAGACAGAGTCTCACTGTGTTGCCCAGGCAGGAGTACAGTGGCACAATCTCGGCTCACTGCAACCTCTGCCTCCTGGGTTCAAGCATTTCTCCTACCTAAGCCTCCCAAGTAGCTGGGATTACAGATGCGCACCACCATGCTTGTCTAGAGTTCAACTTTTTGAAGACAGTCTTGCCACCTTCAAAATTTCCAGTAAAATATTTGGCTTTGTTAAATTTGCATTTTACATATATGGTTATAAATGTGAGGTAACTGTCATTAGTTTGCATTGAAAGCTTATTTAGTAATAGTAAAACATACTGTTATTGTAATACCATGAGAATCGTCAGGGTAATCCTTGAGTTCCCTTCTCAGTGTTTGAGAAAACAGGCTTTTAAAATACCTTTCTGAAAAGGTGAATTTATGTTAAATTGTATTTTTTCAAAATTACTTGATTTTTAATTTAAGTGGTATAGCTTGATGAAACATTATGACAATAATTCAAATATTTTCTGTTGTAAGGTAATATATAGAGCATAAATGGATTTGTTCTTACAATAATGGAGAATGAAAAACGTGCAATGAAAATAGCTTATTTAATTTTGGAATGCAACATATGAGTTTCAAACTTTTGTCATGTTTTGCTTAGGCAATAAGGATTTGTTTACATGCAGGGAACCATTAGCTGACAGTGGGGTGGTGTTGCATTTGCCTTGGAGAATATTTATCAAATGACTGCTGTGTGCATAATATTGTATTAAGGGGAAAAACATCACCAAAGTGGAGCCATGTTGATACTAGCTTAAGAATACCTAACATGAGATAAGTACTTTTTATTTTATTCCATTCGTTTTTTTAGAAAGGGTCTTGCTGTGTTGCCCAGGCTGGAGTACAGTGGTGTGACCCTGACTCACTGCAGCCTCTGCCTCCTGGGCTGAAGTGATATTTCCGCCTCCCAAGTAGCTGGGACTACAGGCGTGTCCCCCCATGCCTGGCCAAAATTTTTTTTTTTTTGTATCTTTTTGTAGAAACAGGGTTTAACTAGGTTGCCCAGGCTAGTCTCGAGCTGCTAGGCTCTAGTGGTCTCCATGAAGTGATCCATCTGCCTCAGCCTCCCAAAGTGTTGGGATTGCAGATGTGAGCCACTGCTCCTGGCTGAAAAATACTTTTTACCTGCTAAACATTGCCTGAAGGAAATATTTATAAGTGATATTTTACATTTAGGGTTGCTATCTTTTTAATATGTTCATGTGAATTCAAGTTTGATAGATGTTTCTGTGTTAATTGATCTTTTGTGAACAGTTCTATGGTAGTTTTCCAGGGCTGCTGTAGCAAAGTGCCACAAACTAAATGGCTTAAAAGAACAGCCATGTGTTCTCTCCCTGTTTCGGAGGCTAGATGTTCACAGTCGAGTTGTCAGCAGGGCCATGCTCTTTCTGAGCCTCTTCCTCTTTCCAACTCCTGGTAGTGGCCATCGGTCTCCAGTGCTCCTTGACCTGTGGCTGCATCACTCATGTGTCTGTCGTCACATGGCATTCTCTGTTTGTCTGTGCCTCTTCCCTTGTATGGACACCAGGGCCCAACCCATTCCAGTATAACTTCATCTTAACTAATTACATCTGCAATGACTCTGTTTCCAAATAACACCACATTCGGGATTACTGGGGTTGGGACTTCAGTACATCTTTTTAGGGGACACAGTTCAACCCATAACAGACTCAGATTTGAAAATCAGGGTGGGGCAAAAGTACATGCTAGCTTAGCTTTCAGCAGACAGGACGGAGGCCTGATAGAAATGGTTTAGCACATCCTCATGACCAAAACTTTACAAACGTTATTTTTTGATTGTAAAGATTTTGCATGCTCATTATAGAAAATTTAGAAAATCTGGGGGTAAAAAAGAAATGCAAAAATTACTCATATAGTTAACACCCACAGGGAGTCACTGCTATGTAAAGGAAAACTGGAAGAATATGTTTTTTCCCTTTATTTTTGAGATACTACTAATCAATGTCACTGTGTACTTTTACTTGTGTTTCTGGTATATTTAGGCAAAGAGGATAAAAAAGTCAAATGAATTGGTAGGGCCTTCTTTGAAAGATATGCCATTTTAATTTAAAAGTTGGTTTCCAGCAGTAAATACAAAGATGTTTATTTCCCTCCTCCACTTTTTTCTTCCCTAGGTCTGGGTGAAATAAACTATATGCATGAACTTCTCACAAACCTGGTTCATAAAAGGTATGTTGAAAATGATACAGCTGTATTCTTCTAAATCCTTGTGTTGTTTCTGCCTTAAATAATTTTAATTATCTCAGTATTTATTTTTGTATCTCATGTATATCTATTCTTTATGGAGATTTTATTTTAGTAATTTCTTAGGTTGCAGGTCTATCCACTCCATTCAAGTGTGGCTTTAGAAGAACAGAATAATGTATTTTTAAGTCCAGTCCCTGGGTACAGAAAGGTAGGAAAACTGGGAAGACAAGTTCTAAGCACTTTAGGTAAATTTTCCTTAGAGACTCTACTCATGAAAAATATTTTCTGGGTGTCGTGGCTCATGCTGGTGTTTCCAGCACTGTGGGAGGCTGAGGCGGGTGAATCGTTTGAGCTCAGGAGTTTGAGACCAGCCTGGTAGCATGGCGAAACCCCATCTCTACAAAAAATGTAAAAATTACCTGAGTGCAGTGGCACACACCTGTGGTCCCAGCTACTTGGGAGGCTGAGGTAGGAGGCTTATGCCTGGCTGTTGGAGGCTGCAGTGAGCCGAGATCACACCAGTGCACTCCCGCCTGGGTGACAGAACAAGACTCTGTCTCAAAAAAAAAAAGAAAAGGAAAAAAAATCCACATTTCAGCAGTGTGTTCTGTAGTTAGTGGTTAGTCACTTAAACAAGTATTTGCCTGATGAGCCAGGTGTGTTGTTTAGTTTTGTGTTTTATTTTGTAAATCAGTTTGCTAAAAAGCTAAGATTTTTTATTTTCTCAATTCAGGAATTCTGATGCCTTTTAATTCTTCTTTAGTATTTCTCTAACTTTGGGACTGTTCTGGTGTCCCTGAAACCATTCTGGTGACTGGTTAGAAGCCATATTCTAGGTCCTGCTTCAGGAGGATTTCTTTATCTCAGATTATGTGTGAATGATGGAGTTGTTTTAACAAGACCCTTCTAGAGCTGCTTGAGGTGATCGGGGGCCTGAACTGGCAACCTCGCCCCTGGATTGCTTTGGAATCCCTAGGAGCAGCCTTGAGTGGTATTCTAGGGCAACTACAAGCTACAGCCCTTCTTCTAGAAACCTGGTTGTACCCCTGGGCAATTCCAGGACCCTTCTCCACCCCACCAAAGCTACCACCCCAGAAGTCAGGAACAGCTCCCTTTGCCTGTGTCTGAGCCCTTGCTGTGTTGTATGTGGCTGGTTTTCCATTCACCAGGGGCTTCTTAATCAATTGTGATGTGTATAAAATAGAAAAATGGCTAATTTTGAAATCTGAGTTCAGTATTTACATTCAGAAGCTTTAAAATAATTTTTGCATTTTCGTAAACTTTGCCTAATGATGTCCAGAATATAGTAGAAATGTCAGCTTTTTTCTTTGATGTTTAACAGATTATTCTGTCTACCAATATTGCAGAGAGTTCTGTCACAGTTCCAGATGTCAAATATGGTAAGATACTTCTCTGTTTACCTCCTGGCATTAGCTGTAGTGCCATATTTATTGGCTTATTCACCTCACTCAGGAATTGTTCTTCTCTTCCTCCCCATCTCTCCCCGTTTTGGAAGATAGAATTGAGAAAAGTAGGTTTACGTAGTTTTTCCCATACTCTCAGTTCACCACCTCCTCCTCTAAGTGCACCATTTCATGCTTTAGGGCAAGCTGGCTAGTAGGAAGTGTTTGGGGTGTTCCCACTGGGCCTTGTGGGAAACAACTTTGGGGCTGCCAGGTGGAGTTCTGTGACTGGAGCGAGGCAGATGTGGGGAGGAACTTAGGCCATCTCAGTTCTGAAGGTTGCTTGGCAGGACACCATGTCAACTCTGGAGCAGCCCGCTTTGTCATCCCATTTTCTGTATCTGTGTCTGTGATTACTTCGTGAGATTGCTTCATCAATGAGTTTTCTAAATTCATTAATTTATATTTGAGAACCTAACACATGTGCCAGGCACTGTTCTCAATGCTGGCAGTACAGTGGTGAATAAGACAAAGTCCAGTCCTCATGGCTGCTGCGTTCTGGTGGGAGAGAGGGACGCTTAGCAGGTAAAAAGGTCTTTATAATTTCAGGTACAGGTCAGTGTTGTGTAGGAAAATAAATCAGGGGAAGGGGTTACAGTTACTGGGAAAAAAATGATCTTTCAGATAGGATGATGTGGAATTACCTCTTTGAGGAAGTGACATTTTAATAGAGGCCTGAATTAAATGAGGAGTGAGCCTTGCAAAAAGGTGGCTGGGGTGTGGGGAATGGGTTTGAGGAGCAGCACACGGTCAGTGTGGCTGGAATGGGTAAACCAGGGCAGATGATAATGAGCAGGTGTTTTGTCTCTATACCAGGGAAATAGCAGTAAGCAAAATAGACAAAAGCCTTTGTTCTCGTGACACTTTCAGGGGTGGGTAGATAAATACAGATATGTAGTAAGTTACATGATGGTGAGTATATGAAGAAAAAAGAGGGGGTTATTGGGTAGGGAGTGTTAGGGAAGCACCATTGAGATTGTAGGTGGAGTGACCAGGGAATGTGACAAGTCACATGCTGAAGGAGGTTAGGGAGGGAGTCAGGTCCGTACCTGGCAAAAGAGTGTTTAGAGTAGGAGAAAGCAAGAGTGTGCTTGATGGTTGTGAAACAGCACCATCAAGCGAGGAGGCCAGGGCAGCTGGACTAGTGTGAACACAGGGGAAAGGAGCCTGAAGAGAGGCCTGGAGGTAGCAGGGCCCGTAGGGCCTGGTGCATCCTTTGCTGTGCTGGGTAAGATGGAGAATCCTTGGTGAGTTTTGATAACAGAAATGATATAACAGGATTCACTTAACAGGATTTAAGTTCACTTAACAGGATTTCTCTGGGAATAGACTAGAATGAGGCAAAGGAGATAAAAGGAAGAGAGTTAGGAGGGTGTCACAAGAATCTAGGCGAGAATCGGTGGTGTTTAGAATAGGACAGTAGTGATAGGGGACAGGAGGTGGGGGCAGATCCCAGGGAGATTCTGAAGGCAGAGCTGGTGAGGATGTGCTGAGGTGTCTGATGGAGAAATTGTGAGAGACACGTTTGGTCGGCCCTCTAGACGTGTGGCCTGAGAGACTGGGAGGATGGAGGCTCCTGTGAGATGGTGAAGGCTGTGGAAGGAGCAGGGTGGGGTAGGTGAGGAGCTGAGATTTGGGCTGAGACATGTGCTAGATGTTCAGGTGGAGGTGTCATGGAAGCAGCCGGCTGTGTGAGCTTGGAGACCACGGCCAGGGAGCAGCTGGCAGGGGCGTCAGCTGGTGACTGGCATTGGAAGGCAGAAACCTGGCCAAACTCTTCTGGGAGTGCACAGAGGGAAGGTAGCCCCAGTGTTTAAAAGTGGGCAATAGGAGCAGAGGGGCCTCCAGAGCAGTGGGAAGAAAGCCAGTGAGCACAGGGGCCTAGACACCCAGTAGGAAAGGGTCTTGAGGGGATGGAGTGGAGGAGTGCATCAGATGCTCATGGCAGATCAAGGAGAACCTCCCAACGGGGCTGTTGTCAGGGACCTTGACAAGGGCAGCTTTGGTGGAAGCAAGCGTCTGCTTGGAATGGGCTCAAGAAAGAGTGGGAAGAAATGAACCAAGAACCGGTGGCGGCAGACAACACTCCACAGGTGTTTTGCTGTAGGGGAGCAGAGGAAATGGGGCAGTAAGTGAAGGGGTGGCCCAGGGGAGTAAGTGTTGCTGATGGGAGATCGCCAGTGCTTTGGCTGTGTGAGGGGAAAAGGTGGGGTGGAGGGGAGGAGGTAGGCCACGGATGAGGATACTAAAGCGCAGAGACATTCGGCAGCTTATCCAGCCAGGCACACCCACGTGTACAGATGCACAGACACACACACCCATCTAGACAGACATACACATACCTAGACACCAGATCCACCCACAGGCACACACAGATGCGGGATTTGAATTCTGGCGGTCCCTTGCATCAGCTGCTCTCCTCTACTACTGTTGTAATGATGCTCTTTTGGAGAACGTTACTCTTTTCGGGTGCAGTCCAGGTAGGCCTTCTTGTGACACGTTGAGTCTTTACACCCAGAGACTCCCAGTACTCAGCAAGAAAGGATGTGACCACCAATCCCCGTCCTGGGCAGAAGGAGTGGTCAGTGCGTGGCCAGATATTTCTGCCTGTTCACTAATTCTTAAGGCTGCATGCTGCAAATGGTTTTATCACTATGCATTGTGATTTATTATGCAATGATCTCTTATTAGCATAGTGTTTATAGTCTTTTTCCTTTTAAATGGCAGTTATAGATTTTTGTTTGACTAGAACTTTGGTCTGTGATGAAGATACAAATTATCAGAGTCTGCGATTGAGTTGGGCCTCTAAAACCAGCTGTAATCAGAGAAAAGGTAAGACATTTGTGTTAAAGCACAGTAATGAGTCAGTGTTGACACAGCGGCACATTCAGGTGTTTTTTTTTTTTTTTTTTTTTTCCTGAGATGGAGTCTCACTCTGTCGCCCAGGCTGGAGTGCAGTGGCGCGATCTCAACTCACTGCAAGCTCTGCCTCCTGGTTCTCGCCATTCTCCTGCCTCAGCCTCCTGAGTAGCTGGGACTACAGGCACCTGCCACCATGCCCGGCTAATTTTTTGTATTTTTTAGTAGAGACGGGGTTTCACCGTGTTAGCCAGGATGGTCTTGATTTACTGACCTCGTGATCCGCCCGCCTCGGCCTCCCAAAGTGCTGGGATTACAGGGGTGAGCCACCGTGCCCGGCCATTCAGATGCTTTTCTAAAAAACTCATTTTTTGCACTTTTTACTCAGATATTTCCTTTCTTGGAACCAGTTTTAAGTTTTTAGCAATGGCTTCTCATATTGTCAGAGTGTCCATTTAAATCCATGATTCTCCTCTCTTCTAATGTATGAGGTCTTTGTACAAACTGGATAAACCCCATCATCCTGACACTATGTTTTTTTCCTAAAGTGAAATTAAAAAATTACTGGTGAAGAACTATGGAAACCAAGTGGATCACTTCAGTAATTTTTGATCATCTGATTTCTGCTTCACTTTGATCTTCCTAGGGTTAGTTTTCCTAAAGTGGTTCCACAGAGAGTTCCGGATTTGCTGCATCAGCCACATGTATCTGGGCAGAGATGAGGGTGTAAGGTCACTTTTGGGGTCTTGGGATGCTTCGACCACAGTGGAGGTGTATTCATGACATACCTGGGACAGGCTGTTAAGATCACCTGTGGCAAGAACTGATTTCGCAGAACAACGTTTTAGAGAACCTTTTGAGAAGTGTAGATAAAAGACCATTTCAAGAATACTAAAATACTAAATATACCCCTCAAATAATAAAGGCAACATTGATTTAATATTTACCGTATGCCAGACATTCTTCTAAGTATTTATTAACTCATTTAATCTTCCTAGCAACCCTGTGAGGTAAGTACATACATAGTGTGTTAATTAAGATTCCCATTTCTTAGTGATGCGGCTGAGAGGCACGGAAATAGTAACTTGCTCAAGATTATAGTAGGAAGTGGTGGGAATGAGGTTTGAACCCAGAAATCTGACTTTGGTCTACATTCTTAACCTTTTTGTTGTATCACCTCTCCTGAAATGACTTGCCTAGAGAGGGGTTAAGAGAATGACTAAGCAGCCGTTAAAATAGGGTCGCAGAGGCCAGGCGCGGTGGCTCACACCTGCAATCCCAGCACTTTGGGAGGCCGAGGCAGGTAGATTGCCTGAGTTTAGGAGTTCCAGACCAGTCTGGACAACATGGCAAAACTCTGTGTCTACCAAAAACACAAAAAATTAGCTGGGGGTGATGGCGCATACCTGTGGTCCCAGCTACTCGGGAGGGTGAAGTGGGAGGATCACTTGAGCCTGGGAGGTGGAGGTTGAAGTGAGCCAAGATTACACACACTGCACCCCAGCCTGGGTGACAGAGTGAGAGCCCTGTCTCAAAAAAAAAAAAAAAAAAAAAAAGTCACAGAGGTTCTCATCACTTTGGAAAAACCTTATGTATTATTATAAAGTTAAGAGAAAAAAGGCTATTAAACTGTAATCACCTCACTATGTTTAACCTCCCTCCCCCTCAAACTTCCCAAAAAATTATGCTTAAAAAATGACTAGAAATAGCTGGGTGCGGTGACTTGCGCCTGTAATCCCAGCACTTTGGGAGGCTGAGGCTGGTGGATCATTTGAGGTCAGGAATTTGAGACCAGTCTGGCCAACATGGTGAAACCCTGTCTCTATTACAAATACAATAATTAGCTGAGTGTGGTGGCACACACCTGTAATCCCAACTACTTGGGAGGCTGAGGTATGAGAATTGCTTAAACCTGGGAGGTGGAGGGTGCAGTGAGCCTAGATCACGCCACTGCACTCCAGCCTGGGCAACAGAGCAAGACTCTGTCTCAAAACAAAAAACCCTCAACAAAAAATGACTAGAAATAAATATACAAAAATGTTAAAAGTGATTATCTTTGGGTCAGTCTTGGGATTATAGGAGTTTTGTCTACCTTTTTGTATATTCAAAATTTCTGTAATTAGATATTTATTATAAAATTTCTTCCTTTACAGGATATTGCAAAAATAGTACATAGAATCCTTTGAATCCTTCTCTTACCCTCTCCTGGAGTGGGACATTTGTATAAGTACAGTCAACCAGGAAATTGACATAGTGTAACACTGTTAGACCATACACCTTGCTTCACAGTTTTCCTTGTACCGTGTGTATGGTTCTCTGCAGTTTGATCCTGTGTGTAAGTTTGTGTAACCACTACTGTGATCAGAACACACAACCGTCCTGTCCCACTGCTATGCAGGGGTGACCCTGTGCTGCCCCCTTGCAGCCATACCTGCCCCTAATACTCTGCCTGCCAACTGGTGACCCATCTTCATCTCTGCAGCTTTGTCATTTCCAGGATGTTAGATAAATGGAATCACACAGTATGTGACCTTTTGAAATTGTCTTTTTCCAAGACTTACCATAGTGTTCTTAGGAGCCATCTAAGCCAATACAAGCTGCATGCATGTATCAGTGGCTCATTCCTTTTTATTACTAAGTAGTATTCCACTGAACATTTACCTGTTTAAGGACATTTGAGGTTTTTCCAATTCTTGCCGTGTAAATAAAACAGCTGTGAATATTCATGTACAGGTTTTTGTGTGGCCATAAGTTTTCATTTCTCTGGTATAAAAACCCAAGAATATAATTACTGGGTCATGTAGTAAATCTATATTTAGTTTCTTTTGTTTTGTTTTGAGATGGAGTCTCACTCTGTCGCAGGGCTGGTGGTGTGATCTCAGCTCACTGCAACCTTCACCTTCCGGGTTCAAGCAGTTCTCCTGCCTCAGCCTCCCTAGTAGCTGGGACTACAGGCGTGCCCCACCACGCCCAGCTAATTTTTGTATTTTTAGTAGAGACGGGGTTTCACCATGTTGGCCAGGCTGGTCTCTAACTCTTGACCTCGTGATCCTCCTGTCTCGGCCTCCCAAAGTGCTGAGATTACAGGCATGAGCCACTGTGCCCAGCCTATGTTTAGTTTTATAAGGCCCTACTCTTTCCATGGTGGCTGTGTCATTTTACATTCCATGAGCAATGTGTGAGATCTATTTTTTCCATATTCTTGCCAGCACCACTGTTAAAAGAAAAATTTTGGCCAGACACGGTGGCTCATGCCTGTAATCCCAGCACTTTGGGAGGGTGAGATGGGCAGATTGCATGAGCCCAGGAGTTTGAGATCAGCTTGGGCAACATGGCAAAACCCTATCTCTATAAAAAATACAAAAATTAGTCAACCATGATGGCATGTGCCTGTACTCCCAGCTACTCAGTAGGGTAAAGTGGAAGGATGGATTGAACCTGGAAGGTCGATGCAGTTGAGCCATGATTGCGCCACTGCACTCCAGCCTGTGTGGCAGTGAGATGCTGTTCTGAAAAAAAAAAAAGAAAAAATTTTTAGACAAATTAAACTTAACAGAGTTTTAAAGAACATTTTGCAAATGGGTCTGCCTCTGAACTGGAAGAGGTTTAGAGAGACTGTGGTGCTGTTGCATGGTCAAGGAAGATTTATGAACAGAAAAAGGAAAGTGACGTGTAGAGAACAGAAGTGAGTTACAGAAATGGCCAGACTGACTACAGCTGGGCATTGGTCATCTTTGAATGTGGTTTGAGCAGTTGGTTGCCTTTGATTGGCTGAAACCTGGTGATTGGCATAAGAGTGGGTTATAGTCTGTTTGCATATGTAGTTAGGTTATAGTTTACTATAGAGAGACTTTTACAGAGAGACTTTTAGGCTGAACTTAAAATATGTAAGGAGGCATCTTTAGGCTAAACTTTTATCTTTCTTCTCTCTTTTTTTTTTTTTTTTTTGAGACGGAGTCTTGCTCTGTTGCCAGGCTGGGGTGTAGTGGCACGATCTTGGCTTACTGCAAGCTCTGCCTCCTGGGTTCATGCCATTCTCCTGCCTCAGCCTCCCGAGTAACTGAGACTTCAGGCGCCTGCCACCATGCCTGGCTAATTTTTTGTATTTTTAGTAGAGACGGGGTTTGACTGTGTTAGCCAGGATGGTCTCGATCTCCTGACCTCGTGATCTGCCCGCCTCGGCCTCCCAAAGTGCTGGGATTACAGGCGTGAGCCACCGCGCCTGGCCAGCATCTATCTGCTTTTGAAAATTTTAGTTTGATTATTTTGCATTTAGTATGAGTGACTTTATTTTGGATTAGCCTGGTCTGTTGGAGCCCAGTGTATGAGTTTAGTCCAAAACAATAGTCTCTCATCATTTTGTTTAACAATTTCCTCCTTTTGGTCAGGTTTTGACTTAGGTGAGAGTGTGACCAAAACTTAGGGGTTTAGTGTCACTCTCAGTTATTGTCATTTTGGGTTTTTAGTCTTGACATGTTATTTATGGGCTATGGTTTTTTCATGATGACACTTTTTTTTTGAGCTTTTGTTGTTTTAAGTGAAGAAGAAACTGACATTTTTATGTATTCATTTTTGAGACAGGGTCTTGCTCTGTCACTCAGGCTGGAGTACAGCGGCATGATCATGGCTCACTGCAGCCTCAACCTCCCAAGCACAAGCAATCCTCCCATCTCAGCCTCCCGAGTGGCTGAGACTACACCACACCCAGCTAATTTTTTATTTTTTGTGGAGACAGGGATCTCACTGTGTTGCCCCCCAGGCTGGATCTCACTATGCTGCCCAGGCTAGTTCTAACTTATGTTGCCCAGGCTGGATCTCACTATGTTGCCCAGGCTGAACTCAAGTGATCTTCCTACCTCAGCCTCCCAAAGTGCTGGGATTACAGTTACGAGACACCATACTCAGCCAACATTTTGTAGATGGCTGTATGTAAACATTTAAAACTTTTGAGAGAATACAGTGTACCAGGGAGACTACTATTATGACTATTAGGAGGATAATACCAAAAGTTTGGAATATGTTCTTTAGCCAGGGTTTCCATGAACCATACCAATGAAAATCAAATAGATCAAAGAATGAGTCAGATAAAGAGGCTTGCTTTTAACCAAGCAGTCCGTTTACCTTCTGTTTATCTTTATCTTGAGTCGTTTTTTTTTTTGAGATGGAGTTTTGCTCTTGTTGCCCAGGCTGGAGTGCAGTGGCGCGATCTTGGCTCACTGCAATCTCTGACTCCCGGGTTCAAGTGACTCTCCTGCCTCAGCCTCCTGAGTAGCTGGGATTACAGGCGCATGCCACCACGCCCGGCTAATTTTTTGTATTTTTAGTAGAGATGGGGTTTCACTATGTTGGCCAGGCTGGTCTCGAACTCCTGACCTCAGGCGATCCACCTGCCTCAGCCTCCCAAAGTGCTGGGATTATAGGCATGAGCCACCGCGCCCGGCCTAACTGATGCTTTATAATACCTGATGTATTTATCTATGTATAATAAGTAGTGTCAGCAACTTTTTTTCCCCCAATCTAGCCAGTAAATAATCTAGAGAAATTTTATTACCTAGCACAACTTTAGCAAGATAATTTAAAGAAGTCTGTTGTGTAATCATAGGCTTTGTAGTAGAATCTATTCTAGAGCCTATTAGGAGTGATACATTTTTAATTAGTGTCTTATTTACTCTAAACCGTGGGAAAAGAGACCTAACAAATGATGTCTATCTAGAAGGGTGAAGGCCTCTTGGCAATGTTTTCTTTAACCTATGATGTAGGTCAAGAGGGATGAACCAATGGTTTGTTTCTGACTGATTATGGATTAACAAAGGTACTATTAAAATTTTTTATATCTACCCTTTGTCTTTTGTTTATTAAGGCATAAGATAGTCCATGGGTAGGGTTGGCTGTAAAATCTTTTACCAATAAAAGTATACCCCATGAGTATATATAATAACCTCTTTTTTTAGGGAAGTTACTATATGCATTATTGTTTATAGAGGCAGAAGCAAGGGGAAAAATAAGAGGTTGGAGTCTCATGATAGAGAAATCTTAATTTGTGATCTTGGGAAAGCTGCTCACATCTGGGATGTTGTCTGCTTTTGGGGAGAAGCTTTTTTGGTTAGCTTTACCTTAAGGTTTCTAATGGGTGTATAGTTTTTAAGAGTCTGGAGGGGCTCTTTTAATTTGTGAGGTTATGCACTTAAGCTTTGAGATCCCAAAGTTTTGTAATGTGGGTGGCAAGGACAGTCTTTTTCTGATGTTGTTTTTAGAAGAGTCAATCTCTGGGTTTCAGATCGTGAAGTATTTGATTGTCCTTAGTTGGTGGACCATGAAAAGCTTTTTTTTACCTGGTGAAAATATATTTTGGTATAATGCATTAAAGTCTTGTGGCATTTAGTTATACTAGAGTTTAGTAGCAGAAGATACATGAGACTCTATTATCAGGTGCATAGAGGCCTTTTAGTGACTATTTTACAAGGGATTACCTTCTGTTTTTTACTGAAGTGGATTTGATTGTCTTCAATCTGTAATTCCTTTGACTATGACAATCTAGTTAGTTTTTTCTAATGCTATTGTATCTGTGATACTTTAACTGTTTTATAACTTGTCTAGTGAAACAAGCACTTCTGTCACTGGAGATTTTTTTATGAATGACCCATGAGAGAACACATTTTCTAGTAACCTATTTGGAATAATTTCAGTGGACTTTGGATAATAGGGGTGGTGACCCCTAGTTTTTGGCATCTGGCCCTGAGGTGATTAAGGCAGAGGAATATTGCCTCCTGGGTGCACCGGTCCATATAGAGGATGGAGGATGTGTGGCTGTGGTTGGTTAGTTTTACATATCAAAGACATGTTCCTGGCTGGGCCCTTTGCTCTAAGAATTGGCTAGTCTTGGGAGGGGCAGTCTCACCCCAGCCAGGAAGGTTTTTAAAAATACCAAAGCATCATGCTATACAGAAAATAAAAAGTATTTAGAATATAAATTGCATTTGCATTTTTGTAAAGAAAATCACTTGCATGTGCTTGCTCTTGCTGTTTCTGGGTTCTTGGTTCTGTCCCATTGCTCTTTCTCTGTACTGCCTCCACCGGCACTGTACTGCCTTGATTACTGTAGGAGAAGTTGTATATCAAACAGAGTGATTCTTCCTACTTTATTCTTCATTTTCAAAATGGTTTTCAATATTCGAAGTCCTTGGCCTTGCCAGATAGATTTCAGAATAAGCTTGTTTTTAGATACCAAAGAAGTTTCGTGCTTTTGGTAGGAATTATGTTAAACCCATAGATGAATATGTGGAAAATTGACATAGTGACTATGTTGAATCTTCCAATCTCTGAGTACTATATGTGTCTCTGTTTATTTAGCCATCTTTGGTTTCTTTCATCGGCAGTGTGTAATTTTCAGTGTATAGATCCTGTATGTGCTGTGTTAAATTTATGCCTCAGTATTTCATTTGACTTAGAGTGATTGTAAATGACATTGTGTTTCAATTTTGGTTTCCATATGTTCATTACTAGTATCTGGACATGTGGTTGATTTTTGTGTGTTGATCTTGTATCCTGTGTCTTTGCTGAATTCACTTATTAGTTCTCAGAAGACTTTTTTTGGGTGTTTGTTTTTGTGATGTCTTGGGGTTTTCTTAGATCATCCTGTCATTTGCAAATAAGGTGGGTGGTGGTGGAGGAAGAAGCCCAGATTCTCCACAGTCTCCTGGCAGTGAGGAGGATGCCTGGGAAGGCAGACAGGGCAGCAGGGGACAGGATCCAGATCCCCGTAGGTGCGGAAGGAATGGTTTTTGGGTTGCCTCATTTCTTTTAAAGCTGCATTTTAAGACTCCCTCCTACCCCTCCCTCCACTCGCTCTCCTTGGACAATTTTATTACGTGTTGGGATAAAAGAGTTGCTACTTCATAGGTGATAGAGTCACAAGAGAGTAACAGTTTATGTCATGGTCTCCGTGGGCCAGCCTTGGTTCTGAGCCTTCTGCTTGTTCCTCACTCGGTCACGTAATGTGGTGTGGCTGACAGCTGGGAGGGTGCTTTGCAGTGGGGAGAGGATGGGTGGGTAGCAGAAGCCATTGGAAGCACAAGCTGTTGAGACAGCCTCCTCGATGGCATCGTAGGGCCTGTCGCTAACCTCGTGATTTTCTATTATGAACTGTGCATTTTCCAGAAAGGTGTACTTGGTTTCTGTTGCATATTGGGCCAAGGTTGTCTTCTTCAGAAATATGCATTAGATTTGATAATATTGGTCACTGAGTAGAAGTCAGCATTTAGTCTTGTTCTAATTTATTCTAACTTTTTAGGATAGTCATTCTTATTTAGAATAACATTTAAAATAAGAATAACTTATTAAGAATACACTAACATATTCTAAAAGTGTTACTGACATGGTCTAGTAGAAGACACTTAAGGCTTTGCTTAATTAATATTTAATGACTGTTTAAAAATACATCTTCATGCTGATGTTAAAGTAATTAATGCCAAACGCTGTTTGCACATCTTTCCTTTGAAGGCCGTGCTGGACGAGTGTCTAGAGGGTACTGTTACCGGCTGGTACACAAGGATTTCTGGGACCACTCCATCCCTGATCATGTTGTTCCTGAGATGTTGGTAATTCACTTTGGTCATTGTCAAAGTTATTTATTTATTTATTTATTTATTTATGAGACGGAGTCTTGCACTGTTTCCTGGGCTGGAGTGCAATGGCACGATCTTGGCTCACTGCAACCTCCGCCTCCCGGGTTCACACGATTCTCTTGCCTCAGCCTCCCAAGTAGCTGGGATTACAGGCGCACACAGCACCACGTCCAGCTGATTTTTTTGTATTTTTAGTAGAGACGGGATTTCACTCTGTTGGCCAGACTGATCTTGAACTCCTGACTTCGTGATCCGCCCGCCTGCCTTGGCCTCCCAAAGTGTCAAAGCTGATAGTTTTACCAAACAGTCTAAGTAATATAATTTCTAGTGTCATCTAATTTTGGTTCCAGAAAAATCCTTGTCTTGCCACATTCCCCCTCACTCACAATCCAGGCTCACTATTGATTACGCATCAGGCTACTGTCTAGGGCGTTACCCACATTTCATAGTTTTAATGAGAGGATGTTTTCAGGTATCTGTGGGCTCTATAATAGGATTGTCTTTAAATGCTGCTGTTTTCTGTGTCCCTTTATAATGAGTAATTGTGGGATCAGCTTTTTTTCCTTCCTCTTTTGTGTGTCTCTCCTCTTCTTTTGTCCTCCTTCTCTTTTTTCTTCTTTCCCTCTCCCTGCTTTCTTGCTCTCCCACTTTTCAGCCCCTCTTTTCCTTCTCTTTTTGCTTCCTTCTTTCTCTCCCCCTCTTTGCCTTTTTCCGTCTCTCTCTCCTGTTCTTTCTCCTTCTCTCTCCCCTCTCTTCTCTCCCTCCCTCAATCCTCTCCATTTTTTCTTCTCTCCTCTCCTTCTCTCCTCCTCTTTCCCTCTGAAGCACTGGTTATGTGAATCGGCTAACTGATTGAGTTACGTTATTATTTCTAATCTCAGGCTTGGTTCTTTTCAGCGTTGTCCATTAGGAAGCACAATCTTGAAAGCGAAATTACTCAACATGGGTGAGCCGAGAGCTCTGCTGGCCACTGCCCTTTCCCCGCCTGGTCTGAGTGACATTGAGCGCACCATCCTTCTACTAAAGGAGGTAGGACTGCCTGATGGTTAGTACTGTTGGCATCTGTAGAGCTCTGTTCTACTGCAGCTCCCTCAGTCTCTGCCTCACTTTCCCACTAACTCTGTTCCTCAGCCTCTTTCTGGCTTTCTTCGTCCATTCCTGGAAACCCTGCTCTTCCTACTCGGGATTCTTTGACTGCACACCTGACTCATACTCTGCCCTCTGAACTTGTAACCAAGGCCTTGGTACAAGCTGTATCCTAGTGTACATATTGTGCTGGGGCTCTGGATGTTCTGCTTCTGACCTTTGAAGTGGAGGATGCCTCTGGTGTTTTACCTTCTCTATTGTGATTGATTGATTGATTAACTGGGTCTTGCTCTGTTGCCTAGGCTGGAGGGCAGTGGTGCAGTTATGGCTTACTGCAGCCTCAAACTCTGGGCTCAAGTGACCCTCCCACTATGGCCTCCCAAGTAGCTGAGACTGAGGTGTGAGCCACCACACTTGGCTTCCTTTAATAAAAAAATTTGATAACTCCTTGGGTTTCTATGAAAAACACTGTGTCAAGTTAAGGAAGTTTTTCCCCATACATAGTTCAGTAAGGTTTTGTCGACAGTGGCAGCTGGGAGATCCTTCACTTAGTACTGTGCATGCCGTATTTGTTCAAGAGTGAGGTGAGTAGACTTTTGTGAAAGTCCTTTAGTGTTACCTCCTAGGATCATACTTTTAAAAAAATAGTAAAATGTGTTCTAAGTTTCAAGGGAAAATTTAAAAAGTTTTTTTTGGTAGCATATCAGCCTTTCATAAATTGGCTTAGGGCCTTATTCACCAAAATGTGGTCTTCGTTTCCTGTTTTGGACTCTCCACCTTAAGGGGAAAAAGTATGAGTAAGTCAGTGCTTGCTGATAACACTAATTTTATTGTATAAAGGTTGGAGCACTTGCAGTGAGTGGGCAGAGAGAAGATGAAAACCCCCATGACGGTGAATTGACCTTCTTAGGAAGAGTTTTAGCCCAGCTTCCTGTAAATCAGCAACTTGGTAAACTCATAGTCCTTGGACATGTATTTGGATGTCTAGATGAATGTCTTATTATAGGTAAGTGTGAGAACAAATACATGCTAATGGGAAGTTTATATAACATCACTCTCACAATCTTACATTCTTCTTGTTTATTTTTTATGGTTAGCGGCAGCTCTTTCTTTGAAGAATTTTTTTGCAATGCCTTTCCGGCAGCATCTCGATGGATATAGGTACTGAACATTCATATTTTAAAGTGTCACTGCATTTTAATGGTATTGAATGACACCATTATCTGTTTGTAGGAACAAAGTGAATTTCTCTGGCAGTAGCAAGAGTGACTGCATTGCACTTGTTGAGGCATTTAAAGTAAGTTTTCTGTTGTGTAAACCATGAAAGCAGCTACCACAGATTGTTAGTACATTTTCATACCAAAAACGTATGAGGTAGAGAGAGACAATGTTTTATCTTGTGAAAGTATTCTCGGGGTTATTGGTGTCCAATGTTAAATTAACTGTGCTGGAAGAAGTGGGTGAGATGGAAATCCAATTTTATGAAATTGACTGAAAAAATTAAATTTGTACATTTTTATGTTGTAAATTTTCAACATACAGTTGAAAAGTTGAGATTGGACTTAAAAAAATTCAGTGAGCCAACACATTATTTTGAAACTTTGGATCATTTATTTTCAGACATGGAAGGCTTGCAGACAGAGAGGGGAGCTGCGGTACCCGAAGGTTGGTGAGCCCTTTCCAGCTGCTTTCTAGATGGCTGGGAGTGATGACAGAAGGACTCTGTCTTGGCACAGTCATGGCATGTGAATCATGATGTGCCGCCTGCAGCTGGAGTCGAGGTCACTGTAGACAGTGCTCGCACGACTGTCCCAAGAGTGGCAGGCCATAATCTCTGCAGACTGGTCCTTTTGCTTCCATCGCTTCTCAGGAGGCCGCTTGCTCTCAGTCCTATGTTGGAGCTGTGCTGCTTGTTTCGCAGCTCCACATTGTACTGATCTTGCCGTGGTGTCTGTAGCCTCTTTGGCTGTGAGTATTTCATAGCTGTGGGTGCTGGGTTGGACATGTCAGTTCAAAATTGAGAGCCATGTGGCTGCTGTTTCTGTTTTCAGCTCTTTTAGATAATGGGCTTAAAAGAAATGTAATCTGTTACCCTCCATTTTATTCTTTTTTTTGTTTGTCAGGCTTTGTTGTTCTTCTAAACTTATTTGGTTCAACAGACTGTTTACAGGTCTGCTGTTTCTGTGTTGAGATTTGCTGTGCCTAGATAGATCTCTACTAATACATATATGAGTTAGCTGTTTAAAGTCTTTTAAAGACTCAGCTGTATTATTTTTCTTGTTGGTATATAATTTGTCAGACATCTTTTTTCAAGATAATCAAGTTATGTCTACCTTTAATTTTTGAGATAGGTGGACTCAGAAGAGTTTCTGTATCATGTTTATGGTTGAGTATTCTGCTCTCTGGCTTCAATGTAAAATTGGATGTACCTGGAGAGGGAGCGCCACGGTCAACTTGAGTACATATTTAATAGCTCAGTAATTTACATTCATTATTAAATTTTTGGATGAAACGTATTAAACTAGCTAAATTCCACTCTAATTTATTACCTTAATATTGAGTATTCTGCTTTTATATATTTAAAGGATGAACTTAATTGGGGACGGTTAAATTACATTCAAATCAAGAGAATTAGAGAGGTAAGTTAAGTTTTTTGACCAAATGGATGCAAATAAAGTTGACTTATAAAGTATTTAATAAGTAACAACAGTACATGGGTAGTAATGAGTATTTCAAGAAGTGTATTTCCTGCCTGTTTCCAACTTTAGTAGGAGTGTCTCTTTCACCTTTCAGTAGAACTACTTAGGTTTCTAATAAATACTGCTTTTCAAGTTAAGGAATATTTTTTCCCTATACATAGTTTAATGAGGAATGGTTATGTGATCTTGTTGTATTGTCTTTTCAGTATCTGTCAGGATAAACAGATTGTGTGTGGTGCTCACACCTGTAGTCCCAGCTACTGGGGAGGCTGAGGTGAGAGGTTTGCATGAACCTGGGAGTTAGAGGCTTCAGTGAGCCGTGTTTGCACCAGTGTACTCTAGCCTGGGTGACAGAGTGAGACCCTGCCTTGAAAAAGAAAAAGATAAACATACGGTGTTTTAATTTTTAACCTACTAATACAATCTTGCATTGCTTAATGACAGGAATACATTCTGAGAAATGAGTAATTACATGGTTTTATCCTTGTGCAAACAGCATAGAACATACTTACACAGACCTAGATGGTGTGGCCCGCTACCTGGGCTGTATAGTGTAGCCTGTGGCTTCTAGGCTGCCAACCTGTACAGCATGTGACTGTATTGAACACTATAGGCAATTAAAACAAAATGGTAAGTATTTCTGTACCTAAACATAACTAAACGTAGAAAAGGTGCAGTAAAAATATGGTTATAAAACAGGGTTTCCCACCACCTGGGCCATACTCTCCTTATGAGAATATAACTAATGCCAGATCTGAGGTGGAACAGTTTCATCCTGAAACCATCCCCACCCTCTCCGGTCTGTGGAAAAATTGTCTTTCATGAAACTGGTTCCTGGTGCTAAAAAGGTTAGGGATCACTGGTATAAAAGATAAAAATGGCGTACCAATATAGGGAGCTTACTGTGAATGGAGCTTGCAGGACTGGAAGTGGCTCTGGGTGAGTCAGGGAGTCACTGAGTCAGTGAGTGAGCTGTGAGGGAATGTGGAGGCCCAGGACATCACTGCACATGACTGTAGACTATAAACACTGCAGGCTTGGGCTACACTAATTTCATAAAATTTTTAAAAAAATTAATTGTGACAATATAACTTTTTTAACTTGATAAACTTTTTAATTTTTTAAAAACTTTTTGGCTCTTTAAACACTTAGCTTAAAACACAAACACATTGTACAGCTATGTAAAAATATTTTCTTTCTTTATATCCTTATTCTATAAGTTTTTATCTATTTCCTTATTTATTTGGTTTTTGAGATAGGATCTCACTCTGTTGCCCAGGCTGGAGTGCAATGGCATGATCACAGCTCACAGAAGCCCTGACTTCCTGGGCTCAAGCAATTCTTCTGCTTCAGTCTCTGCAGTAGCTGGAACTACAGGCATATGTCACCACTTCTAATTTTTTTTCTTTTTTTTTTTTTGAGATGGAGTCTTGCCCTGTCACCCAGGGTGGAGTGCAATGACGCCGTCTCGGCTCACTATAACCTCCGCCTCTTGGGTTCAAGCAATTCTCCTGCCTCAGCCTCCCAATTAGCTGGGATTACAAGTGCACATCACCACACTCGGCTACTTTTCTGTATTTTTAGTAGAGATGGGGTTTCATCATGTTGGCCAAGCTGGTTTCAAACTCCTGACCTTGTGATCTGCCTGCCTTGGCCTCCCAAAGTGTTGGGATTACAGGTGTGGGCCACCATGCCTGGCCTAATTTTTTTTTATTCTTTATTTTTTTGTAGAGACAGGGTCTCACTTTGTAGCCCAGGCTGGTTTTATCTGTTTTTAAAAATAATTTTTATTTGTTAAACTTTTTTGTTAAAAACTAAGACACGCATACACATTAGCCTAGGCATACACAGTATCAGGATCATCAGTATCACTGTCTTCTGCCTCCACATCTTGTCCACTGGAAGGTCATCGGGGCAGTAACACATGGCGCTGTCATCTCTTACAGTGTAAGAATGCTTTCTCCTGGATACCTCCTGAAGGACCTGCCTGAGGCTGTTTTACAGTTAACTTTTTTGGTTTGTTTCCTTTTTTTTTTTTGCTGCTGCTGGTTTCAAGACATATGAAGTTATTTTTTTTTTAAATAAATAGGAGTATATACTCTGAAATAATGATGGTATAGTATGATAAATCCTTAAGCCAGTAACATAGTTATTTATTATCATTATCAAGTACAATTGTCCCTTGGTATATAAAGGAGGGTTGGTTTCAGGACCCCTGTATACCAAAATTCACGAATACTCATGTCTTGCAGTTGGCCTTGTGGAACCCATGTACACGAATAGTTGGCCTTCCATATACTCAGGCTTGCATCCCTTGAATACTGCATTTTTGATCCGCATTTGGTTAAGAAAAACCTGCATATAAGTGGGCCCTCACTGTTCAACCCCATGTGGTTCAGGGGTCAACTGAATTGTACTGTATGTATTGTATGTGCTAGACTTTCATATGATTGGCAGCACGGTAGGTTTGTTTACACCAGCATCACCACAGACACATGAGTACATGTGGTGCACTACAACAGCTATGATGTGACCAGGCAACAGGAATTTTCTAGCTCTGTTACAGTCTGATGGGACCACAGTTCTATATGTGTCCATGGTTGACTGAGACATTGCTGTGTGGTACATGACTTATACATGAATACATGATGGATTTCCCACTGTTGACCCAACCACGTGTTCTCAGAATAAACTCTGCTTGTTTGTAATGTTTTCTCCCAAAACATTGCTGGGTTCTGATTGCCAATATTTTCTCTAGAATTTTTGCCTCTGTATTTATAAGTGAAATTGGCCTTTGGTTTACGTGTGTGTGCATGTGTGCGCACGTGCATGCACAACACTATCAGATGCTGGTGTCGATACCACCCTGGTAGGACGAACCTCTTTCTGTGTCCAGGAACCATTTTAATCAATAGTTTAATAACTAGAAATGTATTTCCTACATATTTGGTAGAACGCATTCAAAAACACCTTTGGGATTAGTGCCTTTTTGAGGGATCAGTTTAAAAAAATATTTTCAATATCCCTGGGAGTTATTGATCCATTCTGGGTTCTAATTCTTCTGGAGTCATTTTTGAGGAGTTACGTTTTTCATTCAGGTACCCATTTAATCCAGATCATGAAGTTTATTGATGTATAGTTACACGTAATTTTTGTTATTTCAAATTCATGTCAAATGGTAACACCTTTCTTGTTCTTATTATTGTGTATTTGTGTACTCTCATCATTTCTTGATTATATTTGTATATTCAGGGAGTCCCTGAGACCATCCTCGGGTTCACTGATTGGCTAGAAGGACTCGCAGAAGTAGAAAAGCTGTTATGCTTATGCTTATGATTTATTTTAGCCAAAGGATATGGATTAAAATTGGCAAAGGTTAAAAAAAAAAAAAGTCCGTGGGAGAAGCCCTGAAGAGACCAGGTGCAGGCTACCAAGTGTCCTTTCCCAGTAGAGTCTTATGGACAGTGATTAATTCTCAGCCTCAGTGTGCAACGACAGGCATGAAGTATTGCAACCAGGAAGCTCCCCTGAGCCTTGGTGTCCAGGGTTTTTATTGAGCATTGGTTATGTAGGCCTAGAGTACCCATGTGGCTGACCTTAGTTACTCAGTCTTCAGTCCCTCCAGAGGAAACTGTTACCCTACGGCCCAAGGCCCCACCATAAATCACATTCTAGCGTAAACTCTTTTGTGTGGCCCAAGGCCCCAGGTAAGCATAGATACTCTTATTAGGGAGGATAGGAGTCCCTGGAGGCTTGGCAATGACCTTTCAGGAGCTGGGCCAGGGCCAAACCTTTCTCTGGAATGTGCGTGGTCTGGACAGCCAGGCCTGCTGGATTACTCCTTTACTGCACAGTCTGCAAGATTCCTTTATGTTATTGTATTTTCAGAGAGCTTACTCTTAGTTTCGTTTGTCAGTTTTCTTGTCTATGTTTTTTAGGAGGGAAGGAATAGGTGGGGGATTCTAAATCATTGCTTTTTGTTTTTTTTCCATTAATTTAGTTATCCTGTGACTAGTTTACTTGAGTCTTTCTGAAATTAATATTTAATATTAATAATAATATTTTCAGTCTTTCTAATTAAAAACATTTAAGGCTATGAATTTTATTATGAGCAGCTTAGCCACATCCCACTGATTTTTGAGATTCCTGTCTATAATTTCTTTTAGTGTTGGTTTCCTCTCTGACTAAAGAGTTTATTTTTATTTTTTAGAGACAGGGTCTTTGTCTCCCAGACTGGAGTGCAGTGGCATGACCATAGCTCACTGCAGCCTCAAACTCCTGGGCTCAAGCAATCCTTCTGCCTCAGCCTCCCAAAGCTCTGAGAGGTGTGAGCCACCATATCCAGCCCTGAAATGTTTTTAAATATCATTTTTTTCTTGTTAATTTCTGATTTTATTGCTTTTAAGTATAGAAAGTGGCATAGTCTTGGTTTTTAATTCGTTGAGTTACATGTGATTACAGTTACATGAAAGAGTTCCATCCCTCAGGGGTACAGAGGCGAGCATCTGAGTGTACACTCCCTTGCTTCCCATGTCCCAGGCTTTTCCTCCCTCCACAGAGATAGTGGCTGCTAAGTTTTTCTGTCCTTTCAATTCTTTTTAGTTGTTATTTCCCCCAGTTATGTTCACACTTGTAACTGTGTTCTTTTTGTAATTGCGATAATTTTGTGGTGACTTAATTTATGGTCAGTTCGTAGGTATTTGGAATTGTGTATTTTCACATGTGTACATTAAAGTTTGACATTTTGTGTGAAACAGTTTTTATTACAACTGGATATTGTAATATCCAGTTGATTTTATTTTCCTGTTTGGAGGGACTATTTGGCCATAGGTCATTTATTTTGTTTTTGATCACAAAAGCAGTACATGTTCATGGCAGAGGCTGGAATGTGTTTCGAGGACCTAAAGCAAGGCTGTGGTCATGGCTCTCTGCTATTCAGATCTCTGGGTGGGCACAGTTATGCGTTTGCACTGGTTCCCATCAGGGGTGTGTGTTTATAAATAGATCATGGAGCATATATGATTTTGTATTCTGGTATTTTCTATAAGTGTTATGCTGTTCATCTTTAACATTACTTATTAATTAATTTCTAATAAGATGATTCTTGCCAGGCACAGTGGCACATGCCTATATTGCCAGTTGTTTGGTAGGCTGAGGCAGGAGGATCACTTGAGCATAGGAGTTCTGGGCTGTGGTGCGCCATGCCGATTTGGTGTTGCATTAAACTCAGCACCGATATGGTGACTTCTTGGGAGACAGGAACCACCGTATTGCCTAAGGAGGGGTGAACCAGCCCAACTTGGAAAGGGAGCACATCAGAACTCCTGTGTTGATCAGTGTGGGATTGTGCCTTTGAATAGCCACTGCACTGTCTAGCCTGGGCAATATAGCAAGATCTTGTCTCTAAAAATAAATTTTAGGCCAGGCATGGTGGCTCATGCCTGTAATCCCAGCACTATGGGGGGCCGAGGTAGGCGGATCATGAGGTCAGGAGATTGAGACCATCCTGGCTAACACGGTGAAATCCTGTCTCTACTAAAAATACAAAAAAATTAGCTGGGCGTGGTGGGGGGGGGGCGCCTGTAGTCCCAGCTACTCAGAAAGCTGAAGCAGGAGAATGGCATGAACCTGGGAGGCGGAGCTTGCAGTGAGCTGAGATTGCGCCACTGCTCTCCAACTGGATGACAGAGTGAGACTCTGTCTCAAAATAATAATAATAAAAATTTTAAAAAGATTATTTCTTTCTCCTTCCTTCCTCCCTCCCTCCCTCCCTCCCTCCCTCTCTCCTTCTCTCCCTCTCTCCCTCTCTCCCTCTCTCCCTTCCTTCCTTCCTTCCTTCTCTTTACTTTTTTTTGAGACAGAGTGTTACTCTGCCACCCAGGCTGGAGTGCAGTAACACGATCTTGGCTCACTGCAACCTCTGCCTTTTAGTCTCAGGCGATCCTCCCATCTCAGCCTCCTGAGTAGCTGGGACTACAGGTGTGCGCCACCACGTGCAGCTAGTTTTGTATTTTTTTTTGTAGAGACTGGGTTTTACCATGTTTCCCGGACTGGTTTTGAACTCTTGAGTTCAATGATCTCCCTGCCTTGGTCTCCCAAAGTGCTGGGATTAGAGGCATGAGTCACCGCACACAGCTAAAAGATGATTCTTAATTAGCTGCAGTGTTTCATTCTATAGATGTATTTATACTTTACCCATTGTGCACTTATTTTCTAGTGTTTTCACTGCTCTGATAACATACGTACCTTTGAGACATCAGATTTCAATGTATTTTTCTTAGGTGGCTGAATTATACGAAGAATTGAAGACTAGAATCTCACAGTTCAACATGCATGTTGATTCTCGGCGACCTGTCATGGACCAAGAGTATATATATAAGCAGCGATTCATCCTACAGGTGTGCTGGAGTTTCCTGGATGGTTTTTTCCTGATTCTTTGTGCTTACAGGGTCTTGTGGTTGAGAAACCGCTTATTCCTGCTTTCTGATACAAACCAAATCTCAAAGGAGATTTTAGGTCCATAATGTTCATACTGTGTTTGGGAACCAGGAAACATTCTTCTCTTTCATAGTTTGCATTATTTGTTGAGTTGATGATTCATGTAGAGAGTATTTATTGTTTATTTTATTTATTAACATTTAATGGATTCAGACCGATTTCTTTTCTTTTTTTTTGAGACGGAGTCTCGCTCTGCTGCCCAGGCTGGAGTGCAGTGGCCGGATCTCAGCTCACTGCAAGCTCCGCCTCCCGGGTTCACGCCATTCTCCTGCCTCAGCCTCCCGAGTAGTTGGGACTACAGGCGCCCGCCACCGCGCCCGGCTAGTTTTTTGTATTTTTTAGTAGAGACGGGGTTTCAGCGTGTTAGCCAGGATGGTCTCGATCTCCTGACCTCGTGATCCGCCCGTCTCGGCCTCCCAAAGTGCTGGGATTACAGGCTTGAGCCACCGCGCCCGGCCCAGACCGATTTCTAATTTCCAGGGGAGTGTTTCTGTAGAGTACCTGCGTTATCACTGCTTCAGGAGAGATCCTTTTGTTTTAACTTTTAAGAAAGTGAAATGCTCTTTATATTTTTCAGTGTATGTAGCTATTCCCCTACACTGAAAATATTATTTTAACTTTGGAGGCCATGGATTCAGATTACTAGTGGTTAGATGGAATGTGGCGAGCGGGAAGTGTGTCCTGGCCGGTGGAGACTGCCTCTGCTGTAGGGTTTCCTGGAAGGGTTGTCTGATGCATACAGAATCGGGTTTGAGGTAGATGCCTGTAAACTGGGGGTGCTGAAAATGTGCGAGTGTTTTCCTGGATGTAAAATTGCTCTAAGGCTGGGGGAGTCTTTGGTAGGTGTGTTTCAAACTGGGTATATTTTTATTGAAGAAGGGACTCTTCGCAGAGTGCATTTTATTTTATTTTTTATTTTTATTTTTATTTTTTTTGAAGCAGAGTCTCGCTCTGTCGCCAGGACTGGAGTGCAGTGGCCGGATCTCAGCTCACTGCAAGCTCCGCCTCCCGGGTTTACGCCATTCTCCTGCCTCAGCCTCCGAGTAGCTGGGACTACATGCGCCCGCCACCACGCCCGGCTAGTTTTTTGTATTTTTTTTAGTAGAGACGGGGTTTCACCGTGTTAGGCAGGATGGTCTCGATCTCCTGACCTCGTGATCCACCCGTCTCGGCCTCCCAAAGTGCTGGGATTACAGGCTTGAGCCACCGCGCCCGGCCGCGTAGAGTGCATTTTAGAGGTGAATAGTGGATGCCAGCCTGATGCCCTAAATCTAAGTGTTCCAACTGGAGTTCTTTCTGAACATCTGAGAGTACCTCCCCACGTGTGTGGGGAGAAGTGGAGAAAGTTGCCCAACCCTGGGGCTTTGTTTGTAGGAGGGTTTGTGTCCTTGTTCAACTTGCCACTGTTTCTTTCCCAAGCCTCATTCTGAGAAGTACTTAAGCTCTTTTGAAGAAAGATGTTTCTGTTAGGTGAGAAAAATGTTCCTTTTTTAGTGTTTCTGTTAGAGGAAATTACCAGAATTGTGACTTTCTGCTTGGTTGGTGGAAGGTCTAGTTTTCTATACAAACGATAACCGTCTTTTACATTTGTAGATGTCATATCATGCTGGGTTGAGATTTGTATATTGGTGAGAATAACTGATAAAACAATGCTGTTACTTCATGAAAATAAACTTCTTTTCCAGGTTGTATTGGCAGGTGCTTTCTATCCAAATTACTTTACTTTCGGACAGCCTGATGAGGAGATGGCGGTAAGGGAGCTGGCTGGCAAGGACCCCAAGACAACTGTAGTGGTAGGTGCTGGGGGCAGGCATCCCTCCCTGGGGTGTGGTCAGGCAGAACGTTTTTGTTCTCTAATTGTTTCTATTTTTGTGAGTTGTAAGTGAATTTCCCGCTGGAGTGAATATTAGGCTTGTTTGGCCTTTTCAGGCACATCTACTTGTCCCTCAGTCTCTTGCCTCCCTTTACAGACCTGGCCTTGTAAGGAAGCCTTGAGAGTTTATACGTTCAAGGTCAATGCTGATTTGATCATGTGCTATTTTGAAGGATTTAAGGCACTTATAAGTTTAAGAACATTTTCTTAATTCACAACTTCATTTCATACAGAATAAAATGTTATTGGTTGGCAGCTGAGTGCTGTGGCTTAAGCCAGTGATCCCCCGACTTGGATGCCAAACAGAACCACCTAGAGAGCGCTTATTTTATTTATATTTGTTGAAATTCAGATCTGAGGGCCCTGTGAGATCTGAGCTAGAAAGTCTGCCCTGGAAATCAGCATTCAAGTAGTGTGTACTTTGGGCATTTCTAATGATCAGCCATAGACCCTGACCATTGAATCAACATTTGCAACCCAGTTGTTTAAAGCCCAGCAGCAGAGAGAATCACACTGGAAGAAAGCATTTGAGACTGGACTGTTTCGGATTACTTGGTTCCAGTATGTGCCTCTATCTGATAAGGGGGGATGAGAAGCACTTGAATTTCCTTCGTGTCATATCATAAACGCTCGGTCATTGCCAGCTTTTATCCTTATCCTGGTTATTGTTATACCACAGCTGTTAATCCTGAAGAAATAAATAGCTCATAAGGAAAGGGCACAGATGACTTGAGATTACAATTGGAGGTCTTTGATGAGCACCAAAAGGAGCTGGTGCTCATGCTGAAGATGAGAGAGCCAGCTGAGATACACTTGATACCTGTGGAAGGGACAGTAAAAGGAAGTCATTAGTTTTTTATAGCTACTGAGAATCATTTGATTGGCACCTGTGCTCTTGCTGGCCGTCAGGTTTGACTAAGCTCTTTGCTTGGCTTCCTCTCTCACCCCTCTGCTCCTTTGTGGTTTTCTTCCCTCAGCTGTGCACAGCGGGAAGGGTTCTATAGGACTCTCCCTCAGACATTCAGCAGCTCTGCCTGCATCTCTCGAGCACTGGGAACCTAGTCTGGGGGCCCAAAATTACCTACTGTGTATATCTTAAAAGCTACATAATAGCTAGCTTTACTTAGCACTTGAGAGACTGTGTGTTGGATACTTTTTATTCTTCTCTGAGCCTCACTCCACCCTTTGAGTTGGGGATTTCTCATGCCATTCTCATTTCATGATGTGGCAGTTGGGTCTCAGGGCAACTCCATAACCTGCCTAAGGAGACATGCGGATTCAGGGAGTGAGGAGACAGGATCTAACTGGATGCCTTCACTTACATGCCTTCTGTCACGGAGCCCTGTGCAGAGCTGGGCTGGCACAGGAGTTGCCCTGGTCCAGAGGAAAGTATGGAGTGCTCTGCAGAAACCCAGCGTGGTGCCTTGAGAGTTTATACATTAAAGGTCAATGCCAGTTTGATCATGTGCTATTTGGTCCTTCCACTGTGGTGATGAGGAAATATGCACTCCTCTCGTTAGTTAGACATTTTCCTTTAAAGTTTACATTCCCATTATTCCTTATGTAGAAATATGTTTTAAAAAGAAGTGTTTAGTAAGCTTGATTATTTTAAGGGAAAACAGAAGTAAACAAATCTTAATTTGCTTTATTAGACTTACACCATTTTAACAGGGGTAGAATTAGCCTTTATTTAAGATATTTATTATAGAACTTAGAATTTAAAAGTCATTAAATGCACTGATATGTGGAGTTTATATATTATGGTTAAAGATAGCAAACTGTGTTTTTAGAAACTAAAACAGTGTACATCAGTTTTGAGCTTGTGAATGTTGCAACTGTTTTGTTAGCTCTAGTAATCTGCTCTGATTTTGTATTATATTTTACAGTTGAAGCACATTCCTCCCTATGGATTTCTTTACTATAAACAACTACAGTCTCTCTTTAGACAGTGTGGTCAAGTCAAATCTATTGTATTTGATGGTGCAAAGTAAGTATATTTTTGTAATCAACTGCAATTATGAAAGAAGCATAAAGATTCAAATGTTTCCAGATGCTGATTCTTAAAACTGAGTGCCCATGGAAATGGGTCCTCCTATGGGCTGCTGCAACTGGCTTTCAAAATGTAGCTTTGGTTTATCTTATGGTCAGAAGCAATTTATCTTCTCTTTCTGCTAAGTAACCTCCTAAAGGACGAGGCTGCTGGTTAGCGGTCAAGTGTGGTCACTCCAAGAAGGCTCAGTAACTCAGTGTGATGCTAAGGCGGATTCTCCTAAAGTGATCTTCTCTTTCACGCACTTGTCCTCAGATTTTCTCAGTGAGTCATTGGTAAGAGTTATTTTGTGGGCCATGAAGATGCTCCAGAATAGAGTGTATCTGCTTATAGTTGTCTAAAGCAGATATGTTTTGAATATTTTTGGAAGGCAAACATTGTAAAAACTCAATTTGGCTCTACTTCATGTAAGGAGCAAATGGTGTGTTTTGGAGTATCACTCAGTTTTTATTTCTAACAGGAAATGTTTATGTACCAAAAAACCTAAAGTATGATTTTTAATTTTTAAAGTTAGAAATTTTTTCCAGTGTTCTATGAATGTTGATAAATTTTTATTTAACTTGACAAAGCTTTGTAAATAAGAACAAACACTTTTTCTTTAATGTCCAATTCACTCAAGTTGAACATTAAGTCCATTTTCAATTTGGGGTAATTCCCTCCAGCATTTTAAGTTCCATTTCTATGATTAATATATTGATTTTCTTTGTAGGCCTGTAAATGCCTCATGAGGCAAACGTACAACTCCCTAACAAGCAAAACTTTCCTAAGTGCTTTTAACAACTTAGAAAATTAATGAATTAAACTTGTAGTGTCTGAACTTTTCTTAAATATTCTGATGTAAATTATAGTAAGATAGTAAGTCACATATATAAAGTAGCTTACTTAAAGCTGGAATCACACAGCTGAACTAATTCCTGAATATTGTGCGTCCACTTACCTGGGTTAGGTTCCAGTTCTGCGTGAATGTTCCTTTGACTGATTTGAGGGTCAGAAGTCTTGGCTCCCATGAGATTGCAGCATTTTTGTTCACTCATCTTTATGACTGGATTGAGATCTGTGTTTGTTTCCTGTTCTTCTTGCCTGGGACTTTTTGTTTTGTTTTGTATTATTATTGTTATTTATTTATTTTTGAAACGGAGTCTCGCTCTGTCATCAGGCTGGAGTGCAGTGGCACAATCTTGGCTCACTGCAACCTCTGCCTCCCGTTGCCTGGGACCTTTTTTATAGGTGTTTATAGCTTTTACATTCCTCACATTTCCAGCTCTCTAGTCGTAATACAAATGTCATACCAATTTTTTGGGGGAAGTAACAGTATTCTTTCTGGTTATACCAGTACCATTTCTTGGGATTCAAGTATTTAAAGGCAAAGGAAGATATAGTGATTAAAAGAATAAGAACTGTATTTCTCTTGGCATAGAGCAGGGGTGACTTTGTGTAGACTCTGTGAGGTGCCAAGGGTGCGTGGGCAGATGGGCACAGTTGGTACCTGGGCATATCATGTTCTCCCATAAGAAGCTTTCAACTTCGTGGTAGGAGTGGAGAGTCAAATTAGTTTCACAGACATTTGCCTGCTGTGAGAAGTCATGGGAGAGGCCCAGAAGGTTAGAAGAAGACATTCTATTTGAGGCCCAATATCAGAGCAGTAACATTAATTTGAGACTTCCTTGGGTGGACGTTGGAGGTTTGTGAGGCCTTGGGCTGGTGCAGTGTCCACTGCAGAGGTGGTGCCCGCAGGGTCAGGGTAGTTTTCCAGCAGGAGGCAGGCATGAGCTGATCTTGATGGTGGAAAGCCGAGACTGTGCACACATAGCTGGCAGCCATTTGGGTGGAGCTGCTCTGTGTCAGATGGAGTCTGTTGTGAGGAGGTCAGATGCTGACTTTGGGACAGTCTTTTGGCAGATGGATGAGTGTGAACGTGACTAGGTGGGCACTCTGAGTGTTCTGTCCAGAACCATGTTTCATGGAACTTACTCAGGGATAAGCGGACGTCAAGACAAGAGAAGAGGCCGGCCTGGAGTCTTCGCAGTAGTCCAAAGCGGAGGTACTGAGATATGGAGGCAGTATGGTGGTGGTTGACGTGAAAAGGAGCCAACAGATGGGAAGGAGGATGGCTTGGATTTGGCTGGTCATTGCATGTGGAGGGCAAAGAAGAGAGAGGAGCCCAAGAGCATCTGGCTTTCTAGCCTGGAAGCTGGGGAGGATGGAGCTTTGAGGAGCAGATGCTGAGGTCTGGAGTTTAAAATTACTTCTACGGAGTCTTAGGAGAGACTCTGAAGAAGGGAGATAAAGCAGAAGTGCATGAATCAGGTGGTGGGTGGAAGGAAAATGCATGCATTTATGAGTGAAGAGGATGGGGCATGAAGGAGGGCAGAGTGAATCAGGGTCCATTCGTGTACCTACTCCACACACCTCCCTTGCTGGGCATCTTTCCAAACTGCTCAAGGTGTACATTTCCAGGAGAGAGCTCACTACAGGATGATTTTTATAGTAGAGGAAGGGGCCCAGGTCTGTTTATGTGGCTCTGTGGTGATGTGGGAACCCAGGGGCATTAGAACGTTGCATACATAGCATGGTAAACTTGATGCTGTCTTCTTTCTGCCTGGCACGTCCAGCAGGCACCTTTTGCTCCATGCCTGCTGCTCATGCCCCAGAGAGGGGGCTGGAATGGGACACTGAAATATAGGCTGAGGTAAGGGAGGGCATTTATCAGCATTACTTGGTGTTTTATTCTGTTCTCGCAGTGCTATAAAGAAATACCTGAAACTGGGTAATTTATAAAGAAAAGAGTTTTAATTGGCTCATGGTTCTGCAGGCTGTGTAGGCTGCTGCTTCTGGGGAGGCCTCAGGAAACTTACAATCATGGTGAAATGTGAAGGGGAAGCTGGCACGTCTTCCATGGCTGGAGCGAAAGGAAGAGAGCAAAAGGGAGGGTGGTGCACACTTTTAAACAACCAGATCTTGTGAGAACTCACTAGCACAAGAACAGCAAGGGGGAAATTGCACCCATGATCCGGTCACCTCCAACCAGGCCCCTCTTCCAATATTGGGGATTAGAGTTCGACATGAGATTTGGGCAGGGACACAGATCTAAACCATGTCACTTGGCAATAAATTTAACGGTTTCGGCCCAGGCGCTGTGACTCACGCTTGTAATCCCAGCACTTTGGGAGGCTGAGATGGGCAGATCGTGAGGTCAGGAGATAGAAACCATCCTGGCCAACATGGTGAAATCCCATCTCTACTAAAAATACAAAAATTAGCCAGGCATGGTGGCATACACCTGTAGTCCCAGCTACTCGGGAGGCTGAAGCAGGGGAATCTCTTGAATCTGGGAGGCGGAAGTTACAGTGAGCTGAGATGACACCCCTGCACTGGCGACAGAGCGAGACTCCATCTCAAAAAAAAAAAATTAAAGAAAAAATGATTTCATGGTTTTTTTGAAGGGCAATTACAAAGATCACTGAGTTACACATTTGTGTGGTTTTCTGTGTCTGTTTTATTTTATGATAAGAAAGACATTCTATTGTAATCATGAAAATTATTTTGCAATTATGAAAGTAATTATGAAGTAAGATTTGTTTTTGCCCCAAATTCCATGTGACTTTAGTCTTTATTCTGCATTATATTATACGAGGATGATACTTGGTTTTGGTTTAATGACATGTCATTATAACTTTTATTTCTCTTAAATTAACAATTTTCCATTGGAGAAATTAATACATGTTATTAATTATAGATTGAAGAGTTAACTGGCATTTTGAGGAGAGATGTGACAGAATTTCTCTCTAATCTTGAGAGAAATGAATATACAGTTTTTAATCAGATGCCTGATAAATTTATTTTTAAATTTACATTTGTGGAACAGAGCCTTTGTGGAATTCTCACGAAATCCAACAGAGAGATTTAAAACCCTTCCTGCCGTGTATATGGCAATTAAGATGTCTCAACTAAAAGTTTCACTTGAACTCAACGTTCATTCTGCAGAGGAAATTGAAGGGAAGGTGCAAGGCATGAATGTCTCAAAGCTCAGGAACACAAGGTATTTTCAGGAGGGAGGTGGCAGACATGCTCTACTTGCTTTCACATATTCAGATACTGTTTTTAAATGACTATTGATCTGACCTTGCTTCAGCTTATGTTAAAAGCACTGGCTTGGCTGGGTGTGGTGGCTCACCTCTAACCCCAGCACTTTGGGAGGCCGAGGCAGGTGGATCACTTGAGGCCAGGAGTTTGGGACCAGCCTTGCCAACATGGTGAAACCCTGTCTGTACTGAAAATACAAAAATTAGCCAGGCTTGGTGGCACACGCCTGTAATCCCACCTACTCGGGAGGCTGAGGCAGGAGAATTGCTCGAACCCGGGAGGTGGAGGTTACAGTCAACCGAGATCACACCACTGCACTCCAGCCTGGGTGACAGAACAATATACTGTCTTAAAACAAATAAATAAGTAATAAACAAACAAACAAGCACCGGCTTTGTGGTCGAGTGGACCTGCCGTTGTATCCTGGTTGCGTCATCTCCTCACTCTGTGCACTTGGGCGCATTACCTAACCTCTCTGAACCTGAGTTTTTTTTTCTGTTTAATAGAAATGATACCGGTCAGGTGAGATGGCTCATGCCTGTAATCCTTGTACTTTGGGAGGCCGAGGCGGGAGGATCACTTGAGGTCAGGAGTTCAAAACCAGCCTGGCCAACATGGTGAAACCCCATCTCTATTAAAAATACAAAAAAATTAGCCGGGCATGGTGGCGGACACCTGTAATCCCAGCTACGTGGGAGGCTGAGGCAGGAGAATCACTTAAACCCGGGAGGCAGAGGTTGCAGTGAGCTGAGATCACGCCACTGCACTCCTCCCTGGGCAACAGAGCGAGACTCAGTCTCAAAACAAACAAAAAAAAGAAATGATACCTATGGTGCAAGGCTGTTGAGAGGATTGAGTGATACCATTTATGTAATTTTTAGTTAAATAGTAGGGATTAAATCTAATGTTAATTTCCTTTCTTCCTGGATGGGATTATGCATTTTGTTTTGCAAATTCTCTTTTTAAGTATTGTGGAATATTCTTTGTCTTCAACACAGCAATCAGTGGGACATAATGGAGATGCAGCTGGGAGCACCTAGTTGCTTACCAGAGTAAGCTGCCCTTCCTTGCCAAATAGCATTTTTGACTCCCACCCAGAGAGTGGTTCAGGGATAGGGCTGTCTGTAGGGCTGGTCAGCCCAGGGCAGGGGCACTTGCTGCATGCAGCTGGCATCACCCTGGTGGATCTTCTCTTGGACCAAACTGAGTCACCCATGGTATTTGTGACAGACTGCTTGCCTTTTGGCCATATCCCCATAGTCACATATGTGGGAAGTCTCATTTATTATTTCTTAATTGTAGAGTTTTCAGTTTTGGGAGGAATTTAACAGGAATCTGAGGAGTTGGTGGAGGAAGGGAAATCTGTTCCATCTGGTTTCACCCAGTGTGTGACTTTTGGTTTCTGAGAGTTTGGGAGTGTAGTGGGTTCAGTCCTTCATGTAGAGAAGACCTGTCCTGCTCTAGTGAGGTCAGACTCCGCTTACTTTTGTCATTGAACGCTGGGGAGTCACTCATTGCCTGAGTCACTCATTGAAAATGGGTCTGGAGATCGGGAAAAGAGTTGGATCAAGATCTTTCTTATAATTCTTTCTCTTCGCTTTAGAATAAAGTATTAGGAAAGGAAATTTTTATTTTCTATCAAATTTGTCTTTTGTATTCAGAAGTTTAGCATTTACTATCTTATTGCCTTTAAGGGAAAATGATATTTTGGGGGTTTATTGGAAAATCATATGTGTGTGTTTTCTAACATAGCATTGAGCCAAGCATGGATTCTTATAGTTTTCTAAAGGTCAAGGTGCACATTTGAAAACACAAGTTAGGAAACACTGTAGGTCTGAGATTTAGAATTTATCTCAGACCTTGAAAGTCTAAATTTAATAATTTATCTATTTATCTTGATAATACCTTGAAAGTAGATATTCTCTGACAGTCTTGGCCTTCACAATTATATACTACCTGGAAGGTATATAATTATATACTATATATAATTATATGTATAGTATATATAATTGTATATAATATATAGTATATAATTATATATTACAATTATATACTACCTGGTATGCAACAATTATATACCTGGTAGTATATAATTGTTGGGGTGTGTACCCCTTCCAGAGCCCTTCAAAAAGCCAGCAGAAATTCATGTTTGAGATGAAATCAAATTTGTCATCTCTGGCTTAGGTATTTTATTGAAATGTTCTTTTCTTATAGAAATATTAGAATAGTTCAAGTGATAATTTCACTTATGTAAATGTGTTTTCTTTATAAAACTTGATTTTTATTTTATTAAAAATTCATATTATTTAGGGTGAATGTGGACTTCCAGAAGCAGACGGTAGATCCTATGCAAGTCTCATTTAACACATCAGACAGGTCCCAGACAGTTACAGATCTCCTTCTAACTATTGATGTCACAGAGGTAAGGATGAAGTAATTGAGCTTTTCCTCCTTCTTAAACTAAAATCATCATGTTGTATGTAGGAAGTTTACACACACACACCCCCCCCAACACACACACACGCACATACACAGAGAGAGAGAGAGAGAGAGAGAGAGAGAGAGAGAGAGAGAACTCATGCACCTTGGTAATCTTGTTAATGGGGGTGAGCTTGAATTATCACTGTACTTGTTAAATTGAAATATGGCTAAAATGGAAATTGAAACATACTTATTCTAGAATCAAAGTTAATTTTTAAAATATCAAGTACATTTAAAATGCTGCAATAAATCAGATGAGACAAGATACATGTTAGAGGAAAAAAAAGTGTATATATTTTTGAGACAAAGTACTGCTGTGTTGCCCAGGCTGGAGTGCAGTGGCACAATCTCCATTCACTGCAACCTCTGCCTTCTGGGTTCAAGCGATTCCTCTGCCTCAGCCTCCTGAGTAGTTGGGATTACAGGTGTGTGCCACCATGCCCGGGTAATTTTTGTGCTTTTAGTAGAGATGGGGTTTCACCACATTGGCCAGGCTGGTCTCGAACTCCTGTCCTCAAGTGATCTGCCTGCCTCTGTTCCCAAAGTGCTGGGATTACAGATGTGAGCCACTGTGCCCAGCTGAAATGATTATGTGACCTCAGTACCTTTATTTATGTAAGAATGAGTTTTGTACTGCCAAGAAAAGGATATATTCCACACATTTCCTTACCTTAGTTCACCAGGGGACCCCCCTCTTTTTGTCTCATAAACACCTGTCAAAAACCTGTAGAATACTTATGTTCCGAGGATTATGCTGGTGAGATGTGCAGCATAGGGTGTCAGCCCTGTGATTCAAGCTCATTTTCCTCCTTACGAAAGTCCTTTCTAGATTTCATCTCTGCTGCTCCTCTTCCTTTTTAGGTGGTTGAAGTGGGACACTTTTGGGGATATAGGATTGATGAAAAAAACTTAGAGATTCTGAAAAAGCTTACTGCTGAAATCAACCAACTGACGTTGATGCCCTTACCCACTCACCCACATCCAGACTTGGTCTGTCTGGCACCTTTTGCTGATTTTGGTAAACAACGCTACTTTAGAGCTCAAGTCCTTTATGTTTCTGGAAATTCTGCTGAGGTAGGTTTTTCTATAATAAGTCACTGGTAGGGAAATGAGACTGACACATAGCAGTTTATCAAATATCTTTTATAATTATAGGTGGAAATTGAATTTAAAATAATTGCAGTTAGCAAAATAGTCTGTTTCCCTCATTGATATGTGGATTTAGGCTTAGGTCACTAATAATTCTGTAGTTATAGGATTAGAGCAGACTGCTGCATTGCTGTGGCTCAGGTGTGGCATTGTTTTTGACCCTGTGTTAAAGTGTGTACTTGCTTTATTTTCTAGGTATTCTTTGTAGATTATGGCAATAGGTCTCATGTAGATCTACATCTTTTGATGGAGATTCCCTGTCAGTTTCTTGAACTTCCCTTCCAGGTAAGATAGAGAAGACTCTCGGGAATGAATGCTGAATGCTAGACAGGATTCCTGGGTCATGTGGTGGCCTGCCTCGGCTTACAGCTAGGAGAGTCAAGGCCCAGGACAGGGAAGGGACTTGTTTTGCCACAATAGCCAAATTTGGTTTCTGCTCTTCCAAAAATATATGAAAGGTTTCAGAGTTAGCAAAAAAGTTGTTTTAATCCAGTAGTATCTTCTAATACTGTTTCTGAGTTTTCTGATTATGTTGAAATCAGACAGACTTTTTAGGTAGGCTGGAGACATAGTCACACATGCCCTTTACCATCAGTGTGAAGACAATCTAAAAGTTATTCTAAATGTTTCTTATTGTTGTTAAAAAGCATAACCAAGTTTCTTTAGGAAATTCTGACTACCCCAACATCAATTTTACTGGGACTTTTACGAGAATACCATTGAAGATACATGAACGAGGTCTGTTTTCAGTGGTATTTGGGATGAGTGTTTTGCTTATTTGTAAAGCTGTTTGAGCTGTGCCCTTCCGTCCTTGTAGGCTTTGGAATTTAAGATTTGCAAAATGAGACCATCGGCAAAGTCTCTTGTTTGTGGCGAGCACTGGAGCGACGGGGCCAGCCAGTGGTTCTCCTCTCTGGTGAGCGGCTGCACCCTCCTTGTGAAGGTCTTCTCTGTGGTGCACAGCGTCCTGCACGTGGACGTGTACCAGTACTCGGGGGTCCAGGATGCCATCAACATAAGAGATGTCCTCATCCAGCAGGGCTATGCTGAGCTCACGGAGGAGTCCTACGAGTCCAAGGTGTGTGCTCTCACCCTTGCTGGAGCACACATTTGTGTGAGAGAGAACGGGGCGGGCTTTCCTTCTCTGTGGACCCTGAGATAGGAGGAGGCAGACAGTGTTCCTTTTCACCATTTGGTGTGCCGTACTTGTGTTAAGACTGGTGGCGCCAATTTAAATGTCTTCTAGATTTCTCTGAGACTAAATTATGGTGACTGGGTATTGTTTTTGTTGGTGGGTATTGTATTTGTTGGTCTCCTATTTACCTTTTTTATTTTTTAAAATTATTTATTTATTTATTTAATATATTTTTTTAGTAGAGACAGGGTCTCCCTGTGTTGCCCAGGTTGGTCTCAAACTCCTGGGCTTAAGGGATCCTCCTGCCTCAGCCTCCCAGAGTACTAGGATTACGGGTGTGAGCCACTGCACCCTGCCTCCTATTCAGCTTTTTATCTTCTTAAGATAGATTTGAAAATGTTCTATATGTGGGGAGTTTTAAAAATGGATTCCAAGACTTACCTCCCTAATGGAATGAGTTAATAAAATATTTCAGGTATTTCAAGCATTTCAAAACTTCTTTCAACTATTTTTTCTTTTTTCTTTTTTTTTTTTTGAGACGGAGTCTCAACTATTTTTTCAAAATCAGTGTTAGAGTTATTTTTCATGATCTGAAGGTTTGAGAGGCCACTTTTTTTCCCTTTTTTAGTTGCCACATAATCATTGTACATATTTATAGGATATAGAGTCATATTTTGTATGTGTATATAATGTGTAATGATCAAGTGAGGGTAATTAGCAAATCTATCACCTCAGACATTTATTATTTCTTCGTGTTGTAAACATTCAAGAACTTTCTTCTAGCGTTTTGAAAATATACCTTATAGTTAACCATATTTACCCCACAGTGCTGCAGAACACAAGAACCTGTTCCTCCAGTCTAGCTGTAATTTTGTTTGTTAACCAACTTCTCTCTATTCTCCCCTTCCCCTGTATTACCCAGCCTCTATTACCCACAATCCTACTCTCTACTTCCATTAGTTCAATTTTTTTTTTTTTTTTTAGCTTTTACACATAAGTGAGGACATGTCATATTTAGCTTTCTGTGCCTGGCTTATTTTACTTAACATACCATCCTCCAGGCTCGTCCATGTTGCCAAGAATGACAGGATTTTTTCTTTTTGTAGCTGAATGGTATTTTATTTTGTATATACCGCATTTTCAGTATCCATTGATCTGTTGATGGACACCTAGCTTGGTTCTGTATCTTGACTATTGTGACCAGTGCTGCAGTAATCATGGGGTACAGGTATCTCTGATGTACTGATTTCCTTTCCTTTGGATAAATACCCAGTAGTGGGACTGCCAGAGTGTATGTTCGTACTGTTTTTAGTTTTTCTGAATAACCTTCACACTGTTTTCAATAAAGACTGTATTAATTTACCTTCCCACCAACAGTGTGTAAGGGTTCCCTTTTCTCAGCATCCTTACCAGCATTTGCTTTTTGTCTTTTTGATAATAGCTGTTCTAACTGGGTTGAGATGCTATCTCTCATGATGGTTTTGATTTGAATTTCCCTGATAATTAGTGATGTTGATCATTTTTCATATATTTGTTGGTTATTTGTATGTCTTCTTTTGAGAAATGTCTGTTCAGATCCTTTGCCCACTTTTTAATTGAACTGTTTGCTTTTTTGCTGTTTGAGTCCCTTGTATATTCTGGATGTTATTCCTTTGTCAGATGAGTAGTTTGCAAGTATTTTCTCCCATTCTATAGGTTGTCTCTTAATTTTGTTGATTGTTTCCTTCACTGTGCAGAAGGTTTTTTAGTGTACTATAGTTCCATTTGTCTATTTTTGTTGCCTCTGCTTTTGAAGTCTTGGCCCTAAAATCTTTGCCTACATCAGTGTACTAAAGTATTTCTCCTTGTTTTCTTCTAGTAGTTTTTATGGCTTTAGGTCTTACATTTAAGTCTTTAACTCATTTTGAGTTGATTTTTGTATATGGCAAGAGATAGAGGCTTAGTTTTATTCTTCTGCATTTAGATGTCCAGTTTTCCCAGCACCATTTCTCGAAGAGTATCCTTTCCCCAGTGAATGTTCTTGGAGCCTTTGTTGAAAATCAGTTGTCTGTAAATGTGTGGCTTTATTTCTGGGTTCTCTATTCTGTTCTATTGGTCATCTGTGTGTCTGTTTTTATGCCAGTATAGTGCTGTTTTGGTTACCATAGCTTTGTAGTGTATTTCCAAGTCAGGTACTGCGATGTCTCCTGCTTTGTTCTTTTTGCTCAGGATTGCTTTGGCTTTTGGGGTCTTTTGTGGTTCCATATGAACTTTAGGATTGTTTTTTTCTGTTTCTGTGAAGAATGTCATTGGTATATTGATTGGAATTGCATTGAATCTGCAGCTTGCTTTGGATAGTATGGTCATTTTAACAATATAAATTCTTCCAATTCATAAACATGGGATGTCTTATCATTTTCTTGTGTCCTCTTCAATTGCTTTAATTGACATTTTGTAGTTTTCATAATAGAGATCATTCACCTCCTTGGTTAAATATATTCCTAGGTATTTTATTTTATTTTTGTAGGTATTGTAAATGAGATTGCTTTCTTGATGTCTTTTTTAGCTGGTTATTGGTGTTTAGAAATGCTACTGATTTTTATGTACTGATTTCTGTATCCTGCAACTTTTCTGAATTCGTTTATCAGCTCTAAAAGTTTTTTGGTGGAGTCTTTAGGTTTTTCTACATATAAGATCATGTTATCTGCAAAGAGGGACATTTTGACTTGCTCTTTTCCAGTTTGGATGCCCTTTCTTTCTTCCTCTTGCCTAATTTCTCTTGCTAGGACTTCCAGTACTGTGTTGAATGTAAATGATAAAAGTGGGCATCCTTGTGTTGTTCTTGTTCTCAGAGGAAAAGATGGCAGCTTTCCCCTCCTCAGTGTGATGTTTGCTGTGGGTTTGTCATGTATGGCCTTTCTTGCGTTGAGATATGTTCCTTCTATACCTAATTTGCTGAGAATTTTTTATCTTGAAGTAATATTGAATTTTATCAAGTGCTTTTTCTGCATCTATTGAGATGATCAGAGAGGCCACTTTTAAAGCTGATGTTGAAGGTCCTTTATTTTACTTCTGTTATTTCTGCTGGGGATGAAGAATACTGGGTATCAGGAAAGGACAGTCTAGCAAAATGTTAGCCAGAGTGCTGGCTAAATTCTGTATTTAATTTATATAAAAACACTTCAGGGAATTATGTTAGTATTTCCAGTATAAAACCAAAATTTTATGTATAAAAAAGTCCTGTAAAAATGTTTCTTGGGAACGATAGTAAGAGGAGAAAAAAGAAAATTAAAAAAACTGTAGGCCGGGTGCAGTGGCTCACGCCTGTAATCCCAGCATTTTGGGAGGCCCAGGCAGGCAGATCATCTGAGGTCAGGAGTTTGAGACCAGCCTGACCAACATGGTGAAATCCCGTCTCTGCTAAAAATACAAAAATTAGCCGGGTGTGGTGGTGGCCACCTGTAATCTTAGCCACTCAGGACGCTGAGGCAGGAGAATTGCTTGAACCCGGGAGGCAGAGGTTGTAGTGAGCTGAGATCGCGCCATTGCATTCCAGCCTGGGCGACAAGAGTGAGACTATGTCTCAAAAAAAAAAAAAAAAACCAAAACCAAAAAACTGTAAAAAATGTTTATTTCTCTTAAATTCTCTAATGGCTAAAATGTCACAAAGGCTGTCTGATTTCTTTTTTGTTTGGAGAAATAAAGTTGTAAATCCCGTGTTATTTCTTTTGTTTAAATCTTAAAATGAACTTCATAAAATTATTTCCCTATACTTTAATTAATGACATAGAAATCAGAGTAAGACTGTGCCTATGAAATATTTTGATTAGTTTGGAAGAAAGTGCTTGTAATGTATTCTTTTAACCAAACAAACTTTTCTTGTTTGTTCAGCAAAGCCATGAAGTTCTCAAGGGCCTCTTTTCCAAGTCAGTAGAAAATGTGACAGACGGCTGTGCGCCCTTTCCCATGAAAGACGACGAGAAATATCTCATCCGGATTTTGTTAGAGAGCTTTTCTTCCAATAAACTGGGTACTCCAAACTGTAAGGTGATTGTAGGAGTTTTAAAATGTAATTTAAAAGCTTAGTATCATTCTACATTTATATGCTAGGAGTTGTAGTCATTAGTCATGGTGGTTTTTTCTTTTCTAGCTTTTAATGCTGTTACTTTTCTCACAATGAATCCTCTTATAATAAGAAAAAACCCTGGGGTTTAGTGTTTAGTGGGATTTAGAGGAAGCTTTGAGTAGTTTTTTTTTTTTTTTTTTTTAACCCTCCTGATGTGCTTTTTTGTCAGACTAAAGGAAGCACAGCGTGTGGGTTCAGAGAACTGGTGCCAGCCTTGGACTCCCTGGCTGGCTGTTAGAGCCAGCGCTGCTTGCCTGCTTGGAGAGGAGGGCTGGCCAGGGTGTCTCCTTGTTCAGAGACTCCACTTGTGTTTCCCCAGCCTCTGGCTGTGTGGTCTCAGGTCTACCTATGCAACTGAGTTGGTCTGCTGCAATTCAAATAATAGTATTTTCACTAAATTATTTGTCAGTGATTCTTTTTTGTTGTTCAAAGGCTTTCTTAAACATATATATCAAGGAATGTTAGTGAAATCGTTGAGGAGAATGAGTTACATCCCAGAAAAATACCTTCTTTAAGGCACTTTTTCTTAACTGAATCGTAAAGACATTATGAATGAGATTTCTTTTTTTTTCTTTAAAGGATGAGCTGACTTTTGAGTTTTAAAAATTCATGTTAAGTGTTATCTTGCTTATTGGTAACACTTCCTATAATTTGTGCATGCAGGCAGTACTTCATGGGCCTTTTAACCCTTATGAACTAAAGTGCCATAGTTTGACCAGAATATCCAAATTCAGGTATGATTAAGTTTTCCATGAATTTTTTTTCTCTGCTTTTGTATTTACAGACCTTATCAGAAAATAATGTATCTTTATATCTAAACTGTTGGAATGTGTTATCTTTTTTTTTTGGAGACAGAGTCTCACGCTGTCGCTCAGGCTGGAGTGCAGTGGTGCAATCTCGGCTCACTACAACCTCTGCCTCCCGGATTCAAGCAATTCTCCTGCTTCGGCCTCCTGAGTAGCTGGGATTACAGGTGCACGCCACCATGCCCAGCTAATTTTTGTATTTTTAGTAGAGACAGGGTTTCACCATGTTGGTCAGGCTGGTCTCAAACTCCTGACCTTGTGATCCACCCGCCTCGGCCTCCCAAAGTGCTGGGATTACAGGCATGAGCCACCACACCTGGCCGGAATGTATTATCTTTTCTAACTTCTCATTTCTCTCCCAGTTCCTGATTTGAGGTATTCTGTCTCTCTCACATGAAAGCCATTCTATATAAGACATTTTTGAGTATCTTTTATCAGAGACTACATTTTTTTCTGTTCTTGTTACAATTGTTATTCAGCAAAGCTGTGAGAGCCAACTGTATGCCAGGAGCAGTGTGTGGTTTGGGACAAACAGCAGTGAACAAGAAACAGTTGTTTGTCTTCATGAAAATTATGGATCCAGTTGGTGGGCAGGGGGTATAGAAGAAGCTGGTAACTACAATATAGGGTGATAGGGCTCTTGATAAGGGCACAGAACATGAAAGCATCTAGGGGGCTCAACCACCCTTGAAAGACCATGGAGTTTTCCAGAGAAATTTGAGGCCTGGCAGATACAGAGGCATCAGCCAAGGTGCAGGTGTTGGAGGAAGAGAGGGGAGGTGGGATGAGGGTGGCTCCACGGGCAAGTGCATAGGCCTGAGTTTGAGAGTTTGCACGTGTGAGTAACTCGAGTGAGTTTAGTAAGATTGGAGAATTGGTTGGGAGGAAGGGAGGTGCCAAGCTTGTGGTAGACGAGGGCAAGCTGTGTAGACTTCATCCTGAAAGGGTTGGTGAACCTTACTATGTGCATTTTAAAATGATGCCTTGTCTTCTCAAAATGTCCTGTCTTGTCTTCTCAAAATGTCCTCCGGGGAGTACATTGGAAATGCAGATGCCCAGGTCCCCTTGGGCCTTCCAAATGAGCCTGCATTTCCACAAGGCCTCTGGGGACCTGCCTGCGCTTATAGTCTCAGGAGCCCCTGTGTGAAGCCGGCATTGGATTTCAGAGTAGAAAAATCCTTAGGCAGGATTGTGCTTCTGAGGCTGGTCCCTGCTGTAACCCAGGGTGGGAATATGGGAGACTGAGTCCAAGGCAGGAGATACAGAAACAGATTCACCAGCACTTTCAGAGTGGAAGCAGCAGGATGGAGCCGCGTTAGAGTCAGTGATGAAGGGAAGAGGAAGAATTAAGGGTGTCCTTGCTGGAGCTGCGGCAGGCTTCTGCTGAGAGGTGACGGAGGAACTGTGGGGTGGACCTCTGCCAGGATGCAGGTGATGGCCCTTATGGGTTGGCAGTGCAGGGCAGAGGGTCTCGAGTGGAGGTGGAGGTTTGGGCATCCACAGCGTGTGCGTGGTTCCTAAGCCAAGGAGTGGTCGGGATCAGCCACGAGGAAGTGAAGAGAGAAGAGGGCCGGGGACCAGCTTGAGGACTGCTGTGTGAAGAGGTAGTCTAGTAAAAGGAGATGTGCAGGAGAGTGGGGGGTTAAATATTTCTTCCCGTCTATCACTGCAGTTGCCCGTTTGTATTTTTGAAATGGGTTGCTTGTGGGTTGGCATAGCACATTGCCTGGTTGGTGGATCAGTCACCCCATCTCCTGGTGCTCCTGCCTTTTAGGTGTGTGTGGATTGAGAAGGAGAGCATCAACTCTGTCATTATCAGTGACGCCCCTGAAGACCTTCACCAGAGAATGCTGGTTGCAGCTTCCCTGTCTATCAATGCAACTGGTAATTTAAGGCTTCTGTTTGTTCCTTGTCCTCTCTTTTTTTCTTTTCCTTGACTTCAGCTACTAGGAACAATTTATCCTCTAATTGGTGAACAAGTGTACACTTATGTGCTGTTCTTTTTGTTTTTTTTTTTGAGATGGAGTGTCACTCTGTCGCCCAGGCTGGAGTGGCAGTGGCCGATCTCGGCTCACTGCAGGCTCCGCCTCCCAGGTTCACGCCATTCTCCTGCCTCAGCCTCCCAAGTAGCTGGGACTACAGGCGCCCACCATCATGCCCGGCTAATGTTTTGTATTTTTGGTAGAGACAGGGTTTCACCATGTTAGCCAGGATGGTCTTGATCTCCTGACCTTGTGATCCACGCGCCTTGGCCTCCCAAAGTGCTGGGATTACAGGCGTGAGCCACCGCGCCCAGCTTATGGGCTACTCTTTTAGGCCATTTTCTGACTGCTTTGGCTGCTGTGAGTTTACGTGGTGGAGCGTTCTCACATTTCCTTTTGTACAAGGATGTGGGAAGTATTAATAATTGACTCCTGGATCTTTCTTTCCTTCCACCCTGCTTGACTGCAGAGTAGAAGACATCCAAGTTCTTGGCCCTATCCCCAAGCGGGGTAAAAGGTTAAGCATCATAGTGGAGTGTCTCTCTGTAGGGTACTGTGGGAACAGAGAACAGGGAGTGTGGTGTTACTATTGGGGTGGGCCTGTGGGGAGTGGACAGACTCAGCAGAGGAGGGGATGCCTGCAGATGAGTAGGAGCAGGCCAGGAGGGGAGTTAATGCCCAATGTTGATTTAGCATGACTTGAACAGGATCTACGATGCTGCTGAGAGAAACCTCTCTGATGCCTCATATCCCTGGCCTCCCAGCTCTCCTCAGCATGTTATTTGCACCGGTGATGGAGTTAAGGTACGGGCATCCCTCTTGTCTGTAGGCTTTGTAAAATAAGAACCTGACAGGGAAAAAATGGGTGCCTCTCCTTGCTCCTTTTGGAAAGAAAGCCTTTACAGAAGCTAGCCACCACATGGCTCACTGCTTGGGGTGAAGCCTGTGTTGTTATTGATTTATTTATGCTTGGGCTGATTTTGAAAGAAGCTCAGAAAACTTGTAAAGGTACACACAGTGTCACGTAGGAGCTTGAGGCAAAAGTGGGGCAAACTAGATTAAAAATGGAGCTAGGAATCAGGCTCAAAATGGGATATCATGGTGGTGGACATCCCATTGTTAATGGGTGGTAAATGTGATTCCACGTTTTCTGGTGACCAGTTTTCAACAAGTACATGTCAGTCCCTCTTCCTTTGATAACCATGACATCAGAAGGCAGATTGCCCAGCAGATTGTAGCTCTTGTTAGTGCCACGATTAAGCCAGGATTTCTCCCAGAGACTTTGATAGAGAGGAGTGTGTGATGCTATGAGCAGAGCTCTTAAAGTCACCCTCACAGTGGGGGCTGCTGCTTTGTAAGGTTTTGTTTGCACTTTAGGGATTGACAGAGCATTCTCTGTTGGGAAAGCACTAACCTAGGTTTTAGTGGAGCAGTGGGTGGGGGTGGCTAGAAAAGAAGTAATATTTGGGCTTTAGGAACTCACATTCTGCTGGGAAGGATGGAAATGGCCATGACGAGACTGCAGTAGAGGCCTGGTAGCACTTCAAGAGTTGGGGCCATGGAAAGTTACCCTTTTCTTCTTTTCTAGTCAGTTGATGAGCATGGAGGGGTGGTCTGTAGACCTAGCGGGCTGAGTTCAGTCAAGGCAGGTGAAGGCGCCCCACCATTTACTCAGTCCTTTTTGCCATTACACCTGTTCAGAATCTGACAGTGCAATCTCCAAATGTGTAGTGATTTTTTTTTAGTTGTAAGAATATTTTTTTATTTAAAATATGTGCTACTTAGAAAAAGCTGAATGTGAAAAATGAACACATTTTTAAATTTATAGATTTAAACTTAAATATTTAGTATACTTATTTTAAATTTATATGTATATACATATTTTCATTTAAGATTCTTGTTATACTGTATTCTTTTCTCACAAATATCAGGTTTTTCATATGATATCTTTGTAAATATCCATTTTGATAATTGCATCATATATCACTGAATGGGCATATGATGGCTTACCAAAATACTGCCCTATTTTATTTATACATGCACTTGTTTCTGAGCAGCTCTTGTTCTGAAAGAATTGAATATGCCTTTAATTGTTGAAATTTGGCCTAATTTTGCAATGATGATGCAATAAATATCTCTGTAAGTTCAGATATCTTGGAGCCCTTGTTGGGGAGACAAATGTATAGGAACCACACGTGGCAGTGGGATTATCTCATGAGCAATAGCACGCTGTACACATGCAGGCCCGAGACTTGGCTAGTGCGGAAGCAGGTCCTTTCCTCTCGTGGCACTTTGGATGCCCTGCTTGCCTTTTTAACTAGACAAAGCTCCTGCTTCACCTTTTTTCAACACCAGCTTTTGAAGATTTGAATAATATAATGTGTTATTTTTAAAACTCCAGAGTGCAGGTGTTTAGGTTGTAGACATTCAAGAAATACTGACATACTTGGTATTTAAAACACCATCTTTCTAGAAAAAGCACAAACTTAATAGGAAAAGGTTATGTATATAACAATACACAGTGCTTTGCTGGTGGTTATATTCATTTTGTTGAATTAACTGAAATGTGCCAGATTTGGGATGGTTTATGTGACAATGTGCATAAGACTAGTTGTCTTTGAATCCACAGGCTTACCTAGGTGATTATCAGAAAGATAGCAGAGGGGCCTGGCGTATTTTCCTCCAAACTCTGCGTGCCTCTGAGTAGTTGTATAAGCTTGGTGGTGTTGTTGTTGATTTTGTTTTTGTTTTTTGAGACAGGGTCTTACTCTGTCTCTCAGGTTGGAGTTTTTTTTTTAATTTGTTGAGTGAGTAACAACTGTTTTTGAGAAACTTTTAAAGATGAGAGCTGTTTGATTTGAGATGACCATTCTCCTTTCCTTTCGCTTTAAGTATGCAGTCCTCTGCAGCGAGCAGGAGGGGGATCTTCAGTACAGACCAGGCCCAGGGGTCCCGTCACTGTGTCTTAGGTGTGTTCCAGAGGGGAGCTGACCTCCAAAGCCCACAGCTCCCGAGAGCCGCTGCTGGGCCATGCACCCGTGCCCACTTGCTTCCTTTTCTGAGCCACCTCTCTAATGCGCACCCGCATGGGATTCGTCTCCTGTTGGGGTGGCGTCTGGCTGCTGCACTAGAGGCTGTCCTGGCCCCACTTGTTAAACTCGAAGCCTGCAGTCTCTGGGTAAAGTCTGTTCTCCCTCCACATGTGTCACTGTCCTGTCACAACTGATTGAACTTCACGACTAAGTGATAATTTTTTGCCACCTCTAACATACCCTTTGTACAACAGTGGCAGGAAAGGAAGATAAACAGAAAATTTTATCTTGATTTTCAATTTAAAAAGGGAAAGGAGATATGTGTTAAGCCCCATTCATAAGCAGAGACATCTAAGTGGAGGCCACTGTCCCCTTCCTTGCCAACTGGCTGTGGACTGACCTAGCTGCCATTTGTCTCCCCTCCTTTGTTCTTTCTGCCATGTGACCTTTGCTTGTAGCTGACCCTCAGTAACTCAGGGTGACTGAGCCTTGGTGCCAGATTTCCTCTTACCTTCATCGTGGAGCTGATCCACCACACATTTGTCCCTGGAGTGCATCACTCCTCTTGCTGCCCCTGTCCTCGAGGTGTTTTCCCTGAACAGTTGGAGTAGTTCATGGTGTCAGCCTGGATTCAGTGGCATCATCATTGTGTACCTTGTGGAGGCCGCCTCCCTGGGTGAGCAGCAGGCTCCATGGTAGCAGAGCCTGGCACCTCCAGGATGGGAGCAGACATCTGAGAACATGCTCTTATTGGTGTAGTGACAAGAACACTGTACTTACCTCCTTCCCTTGGTTCCTGGAGCCAGATTTTGCTACTTGGGAGACTGCCAAATGCTGGCCATGATTTAGAGCGTAAGTCACGTGTTGAGGGCAGTGTTGTAACCCTAGGAAGTGGTCAGAGGAGGGTGGTGATAAAACTGGGATACAAAACTTTGTAAGTGTGCACCATTGTTTTAGGATGAGAAGGTGAACAGACTTTTTTTTTAGGCTTTTTCTAAGTGCTAGACTTGTTTCACAAGTCATAAATATGTGCATAGCCTTTCTCCAGAAATCTCCCTAATAAGAATTTAACCCATGGAAGGAATTTAAAGATAAAGGGAAAAAAAACCCCATTAATGATAAAATATTCTTTTCATTATCTTATCTACCACATTAGAAACTTAATAAAGTATTAATAAAAATTAAGTATTAATAAAAATACGGAATTTACTATCCTTACCTATATATTTTATAACTATATTTCAATTGTAAAAACTGGCAGAAAAAATGCACAAATGAAATTAATTGCTATGCTAGGGCTGGCAGAATTTAGGATAATTTTATCGGTCAATTTTTACATGCTAAAACATGTACTTTAACAATTCTGAAATAATGGACTCTTCTGAAAACATTCCATTTAGGATTGATCAGAATGGCAAGTACTATACTGGAGTCCTTTGTGGTTTGGGGTGGAATCCAACTACAGGGGCTTCCATACTGCCCGAGCACGACATGGAGCTTGCGTTTGACGTTCAGTTCAGCGTGGAGGACGTTGTCGAGGTAAGGGTAGCACAGCATCACGGCGCCACAACCCTGTCTCTCTCTGGCTTTGCTCACCTGACAGTGAGTGCAGAGTCTGCCATGGAGCTTGCGGTGCAGGCACACGCTTCTGGTCCTGGAGATGTGCATATTGCTTGTCCCTCCTGGGGTCGCCTTCCGGGAGGACCGCTCCTTCATTTGCCAATTTGACATATCTTTCCTGTGAAAAGTAACTTCCTGATAGATGGTGCTCTCTGAATCTCTCATTTGGTGTCTCCTGGCTTAAGCTTTTTTCTGGGCAATCAGCTAAACCACGGGCTGTAGGGCTGCTGTGGGTCTCATTCCGAGTCAGGAAGTGGAACATCCTCGCTAGTTCTTACTGGGAAAGGAGGACACAAGTTCCTGCCCCTCTGCCCTTCTCCCAGCCTGGTGACCATGCTGAGCAGAGGGCTGGGTCAGCATGAGTGCAGAGCTGAGCTACTTGCAGCATTGTCTGGGCACCGCACTAGCTCTGGGGTGAGGTGGCAGAGGCAGACAGGAAAACTGTGTAGCAAGTACAGAAAGTATTTGTATGTCATTTGAATCTAATAATGAGAAATGTGGGCTCATATTGTGTACATTAAAAAAATCTTTAATCATTATAGTAATTTATTTTTATTGCATTTTCAAAGTGGGAAAACCAAAACTGATCCTTTACCACAAATAGTTTGAGAAATGCTATTCTCTAAGTACCTTTCTTTCTTAGAAGTTCCTGGGACGGGTGAGGTTAACATACCATACTGAAGGGCTGGGGGAAAGGAGGAGCTGCGGAGACAGCTGCCGACGCTCCAGGGGCAGATGTCAGTTTGTCTCTGCAGCTGTTAAGTCATGATTGCTCGGTCTCAAGAAGGGGCTTATGGGCTTGAAACTACTCCGTAAGCCATAGACCTAATGGGAAAATGTAAAACTATTAAGATGCTACAAGCAAATACAGAAAATCTGTGTGACTTTGGGTGTGGCATGAGTTTGTAAATACAACACCCAAAGCACAATCTGTGAAGGGGAAATTGATACGTTTGAATTTATCAAAATTAAAAACTTTTGTTCTGCAAAAGACCCTCTTCAGAGGAAGAAAAGACCAAGTGCACACTAGGAGAAGATATTTACAAGTTGCATATCTGATGAAGGACTTGTATCCATAATATGTAAGGAATTCTTAAAACTCAATTATAAGAAAACAAGCAACAAAATTAAAATATACATGGCAATAAACACATGAAAAGATGCTCAGCATCATATGTCATTAGGAAAATGCAAATTGACACTCCCATGAGATAGCACCACATACTTACTGGAATGGCTAAAATCCAAAACCTGACAGTAACCAACAATGGCAAGGATGTGGTGCAGGTCCCGGGGACCTTTTGTTCATTGCTGGTGGGAGTGCGGATTAGTGCCACTGTTTTAGAAGACAGTTTCATATGCAGTTAAGCCCGCACCTACCATATGACTCAGGAATCCCATCTGTAGGTATTTATTCAAGAGATTTGAAAACTAGCATCCTCATAGAACTTGTATGTGAATATCAATTGCAGCTTGATTCATAATTGCTAAAAACTGGGAGCAGTCAAGATGCCTTCAGCAGGCGAGTGGATAAACCATATTGATGACAGAGAATACTAACTCTGAATGCTATGGATTATCTAACATGGGATGAAATTCAGTTACACTGGAGCCGTATGAGTGTTTATGTTGCTGTTTATTTACAGGTTAATATTCTCAGGGCTGCTATTAACAAGCTAGTCTGTGATGGACCAAATGGATGCAAGTGTCTTGGGCCAGAGAGAGTTGCGCAGCTTCAGGATAGTGCCCGTCAGAAGCTTTTAGGGTAAGCTGTGTGATGACGTGGTCTTCTTTTCTTCCCAATCAACTTTCTCAGCTGCCTTGATCATGGCTGTTTTGAATTGTGTAGGCAGTGTGACATGTCGATCACCTGAAGTGGAGTGCCAGGGCTGGAGACAGCACTGGGAGGCATCAGAATGTGTAGGACACTCTTCCTGTGGAGAGCAGACCCTTATCCCGTGTGTGTGTGTGTGTGTGTGTCCCTTGAAGGGACAGCATGGGCAGGGCATGGGAAGCCACAGTGGGTAATGCGTCACCCACCATTCCCAGTGGTGGGTGTCTTAGGGATCGGGGGAGTCCGGTCTGCAGGACTGGGCCTTACAGAACTGAGCCTCACAGAACTGGGCCTCTCTTGAGCCTCTCTGCAGGGGAGGTCGGAGAAGGAACATTCTGACCTCACCTCCCTGTCTCTCACCTCTTGCTGGACTCTCCATGGGCCAAACCAAACCAGAATGCAGAGACAAAGGCTCCTGTTGGTGTAGCCCATGAGCCCAAGGCAGCTCGAGGGCCCTGGGAAGACCAAGAAGAGCGGGAGTGGTTGTGGAGGAGAAACCAGCATTCCACCTACCCAGTCCTGCGCTCCTGCCCCAGAGCCAGTCTCCATCGGCAGGGCGCGGTCCTTCCTTGCCTGACAGTGTCCTGTGCTGGCTGGGACCTGGAGCTATGTGAGAGCAGGTGGCATCTGGTATCACGGTGACACTTCTCTCCTTCCTATGCCTTTTGCGTTGATTTCTTTTAGTTTAATAAGCATTTTTTAAAAAGGTACGTATAGCTGTCTTACAAATGGTGAGAAAGGCCAGTTTTAGTTTTCTGTCTTCATTTTCTTTTATATAAAAATATTTTAAATATTTATTTATTTATTTTTAGAGACAGAGTCTCACTATATTGCTCAAGCTGAGTGCAGTGGTATGATCATGGCTCACTGCAGCTCCAACTCCTAGGCACGCATGATCCTCCTGCCTCAGCCTCCCCAGTAGCAGGGACTATAGGCATGCACCACCACACCTGGCTAATTTTTAAGCTTTTTCTATAGATGAGGTCTTGCTATGTTGCCCAAGCTGGTAATTTTTTTTTTTTTTTTTTTTTTGAGATGGAGTCTTGCTCTGTGTCACCCAGGCTGGAGTGCAATGGCATGATCTCAGCTCACTGCAACCTCCACCTCCCAGGTTCAAGCAATTCTCCTGCCTCAGCATCCCAAGTAGCTGGGATTACAGGCACCCACCACCACGCCCAGCTAATTTTTATATTTTTAGTAGAGACGGGATTTCACCATGTTGGTCAGGCAAACTCCTGACCTCAGGTGATTCACCCACCTTGGCCTCCCAAAGTGCTGGGATTACAGGCATTGAGCCACCATGCCTGGCTGGTAAAAATATTTTTATGTAAAATTTGGGTTGAAGTTTAAGTACACAGGTACACGCCCATGTGGCCAGCACCCAGGTCAGAGCCCCGGTGCTCCTTAGGGTGTGTGGGTGTGGTTATAGCCACCATCACTCCCTGCCCCCAAAACAAAGGTAACTGTATCCTGCCTTATTATGCTATAGATAGGTATTGGTTTGTTTGTTTGAACAATTCAATAACTCTAGTGAATTTATAGTTGTGCAGTCTTATCAACACAACCCAGCTTTTCAGCATTTCTGTCATCCAAAGAAGTTTACTTTAAAGTATTGTCAGGAAAGGCCGTCTCACGTAGGCAGCCTTTGATCCCCTCTCTGCTGTCTGAGAACAGGCCTTGGGCCTGGAACGCTTCCTTCCCATAAAATTTTTTTTTTTTTTTTTTTTTTTTTGAGACAGAGTCTGGCTCTGTCGCCCAGGCTGGAGTGCAGTGGCGCGATCTCGGCTCACTGCAAGCTCCGCCTCCCGGGTTCACGCCATTCTCCTGCCTCAGCCTCCCGAGTAGCTAGGACTACAGGCGCCCGCCACCTCGCCCGGCTAGTTTTTCGTATTTTTTAGTAGAGACGGGGTTTCACCGTGTTAGCCAGGATGGTCTCGATCTCCTGACCTCGTGATCCGCCCGTCTCGGCCTCCCAAAGTGCTGGGATTACAGGCTTGAGCCACCGCGCCCGGCCCCTTCCCATAAAATTAAGGGTCCTCACAGCTTGTGGAGGGCTCGTCGCCATGTGTGGGAAGATCTTTCCTTGATTCGGGCTCTGCCCTGCTTAAGCCTGTGTGTCATACGGTACCTGGTCAATCCCACCACTGCGGGAATGGGACAGGGCTCTCCTGCTGCCACACAGGAGAGGGGCCTGCAGGCCTGCCTTGTCTTCCGGGAGTTACCTGCTGGCCACAGGGACCAGTGCCCATCACTAGAGCTGATCCTGTCCTGTCCCCTCTCTCTGTAAGTAAAGGCTTGTTCCAGCCAGGGCCTCACTATGTGTGTTTTCCTTGGTGACTCCAAGACAAGATGCAGGGGTGCCCCGACTTCTCCTGGTAGCAGGTAACAGATGCCACCTGCTTGACTAATATGTTGAAACAGAATGTGTCATTGTTTGTACAACCCCATAAATTTACTAATAGTAATAAATTATGTGCCTAAAGTTGATGACTTTTAGGATATATAAAGTACACCTCAGTAAAGCTGTGTTTAGGATTGAAAGGTCCCGCTGTCCATTTACAGGCAGTCTTGTTCCCACCCCAGCCCAGGTACCACTGATCTGCTTTCTGTTTATGTGTTTGCCTCCTCTGATATTTTTGTATATGTGGAATCACATTTTAATTTTAAAATCTGGCTTCTTTCACTTAGCTTAGTACTTTTGAGGTTTATCCATGTTGTATCATGTTCCTTTTTACTAAATAATATTTCAGTGTTTGTATATGCCACTTTTTGTTTTATCCATTCACCAGTTGGTAAAATATTTGGATTATTTCCAGTATTTGGCTGTTATGAAGAAAGCTGCTATGAATAATCACATGCAGTCTTTTTGTGAATATGTGAACAGTCTTTTTGTGTCTTTCTCTCGGGTAGATATCTGTGAGTGGAGTTGGTAGGTTGTATTGGTAGGTTTATGGTAATCTTTTAAGAAAAGGCCAGGGCTGGACGTGGTGGTTCATGCCTGTAAGTAATCCCAGCACTTTGGCAGGCTGAAGTGGCAGATCACCTGAGGTCAGGAGTTCCAGACCAGCCTGGCCAACATGGTAAAACCCTGTCTCTACTAAAAACACAAAAATTAGTTGGGCATGGTGGAATCCCAGCTACTTGAGAGGCTGAGGCAGGAGAATCGCTTGAACCCAGGAGGTGGAGGTTGCAGTGAGCCAAGATTGCGCCATTGCACTCCAGTCTGGGTGACAAAAGCGAAACTCCATCTGGAAAAAAAAAAAAACAAGGAAACAGCCAAACTGTTTTCCAAAATAGCTGTACCATGTTACATTTCTACCAACGTAGGCTGACTCTGGCTTCTCCACATTCTCACCAGCATGTGGCACTGTCAGTGTATTGTTACTGTAGTCGGTGTGGTGAGTATGGTAGTTTCTCATTGTAGCATTAATTTTCATTTCCTTAATGATTAATGATGTAGAGCAACTTTTTATCCTCTTAGCCAGTCATTTATCTTTTTTTTTTTTTTTTTAGTGAAATGTCTGTTCAGATCTTTTGCCCATTTTTAAATCTGTCTCTTCATTATTGAGTTGTAGAAAGTTTTTTAAAAGTTTAGATACATGTCTTTTATTGGGTAAGTAATTTGCAATTAGTTTCTCCATTGTGTAGCTTGTCTTCTTATTTTAATGGTGTCTTCCAAAGAACACAAATTTTTAATTTTGATGAAATCTACTTGCTGTGGTTTGAATGTGATGTGTTTGAAACCTAATACCCAGTGCAACAGTGTTGGAAGGTTGGGCATAATAAGGGGTTGATTGGACTCATGTGATTGCGAGAGAGGGTTAGTTATGAAGAGAGTGTGGATTGTTGTAAAGTGGGCCTGCCCCGGTGCCTCTTCCTGTCTCAAGTACTCGCTTGCCCCTCTGCCATGTCATGATGCAGCAAGAAGGCCCTGGCCAGGTGCTAGCCATGGTCCTGCACTTCCCAGCTCCAGAACTGTGAGAAATAAATTTCTTATCTTTATACGTGACCCACTCTGTGGTCTTCAGTTATAACAGGGGAAAATGGACTAAGACACTACTTTATCTATTTTTTTTTTTTTTTTTGAGACTGAGTCTACCTCTGTCACCCAGGCTGGAGTGCAGTGGCACGATCTCGGCTCACTGCAGCCTCCACTTCCTGGGTTCAAGCAATTCTTCTGCCTCAGCCTCCCGAGTAGCTGGGACTACAGGCGCCTGCCACCATGCCCAGCTGATTTTTGTATTTTTAGTAGAGACGAGGTTTCATCATGTTGGCCAGGATGATCTCGATCTCTTGACCTCGTGATCTGCCTGCCTCGGCCTCCCAACGTGCTGGGATTACAGGGGTGAGCCACCACGCCCGGCCTATTTTATCTTTTTTTTTTTTTTTTTTGAGACAGAGTCTCGCTTAGTCGCCCAGGCTGGAGTGCAATGGCGCGATCTCGGCTCACTGCAAGCTCCGCCTCCCGGGTTCACGCCATTCTCCTGCCTCAGCCTCCCGAGTAGCTGGGACTACAGGCGCCCGCCGCCTCGCCCGGCTAATTTTTTGCATTTTTAGTAGAGACGGGGTTTCACCGTGTTAGCCAGGATGGTCTCGATCTCCTGACCTCGTGATCCGCCCGCCTCGGCCTCCCAAAGTGCTGGGATTACAGGCGTGAGCCACCGCGCCCGGCCTATTTTATCTTTTTTAAAAATGAATTATGCTTTTGGTGCTATATCTAAAAAAATCCTTGTTAAACTCAAGGTCACAATCATTTTCTCTCTTTTTGTAATTTTTTGTATTTAGGTTTTTGATCCATTTTGAGATGATTTTGTATATGGTATGTGATATAAGAGCCTAAAGTCATTTTTTGCATATGAATATCTAATGGCGATGACATCATTTACTGAAAAGCTATACTTTCCCCATTGAATTGCCTTGATACCTTAGTCAAAAATCATTTGGCCATAAATGTAAAGATTTATTACTGGGCTTTCTGTTTTGTTCAATTACTTTATATCTATCTTTGTACCAGTGCTATACTGTCTTAATTGCTGTAGCATTAGTCCTCCTGTTTTGTTCTTTTTCAAAATTATTTTTACTCTTTTCTATTCTTTTCCTTTCCATGTAAATTTTAGGATCAGCTTGTCAGTTTGTATAAAAAGCCTTTTTGGAATTGTGATAGGGATTGTGTGAAACCTGTGAGTGAGTTTGGGGAGAATTGCCACCCTAACAGTAGTGAGCCGTCCAGTCCATGAAGATGGAGTGTCTGTTCCTTTGGGTATTCTCTAATTTCTCTTAACACTGTTTTAGAATTTTCAGTGTGCAGGTCTTGCACTTTAGTTGTTTCTAAATATTTTAGTCCTTTTAATGCTATTGCGAATAAAATTGTTTTCTTTGTTTTTGAATTTTTTCTTTTTTAGAAAGAATCAGTTGATTTTTATATATTGGTCTTTTATCCTGTGACTTTGTTAAACTTCTGCATTCTAGTAGTGTTTGTAGATTCCTTAGGATTTCCTACATACAGGATCATTATTATTATGAAAGCTTTCTTTCTCTAGTAATACTTCTTGTTCTTAGGCCTATTTTGTCTGATATTAATATAGCTACCCCAGCTCTCTTTAGCTACCATTTGCTTAGCATAGCTTTTTCTGTCCTTTTACTTACAATATATTTGCAGTTTTGAATTTTTTCAAATTTTTTTCTGCCTCGTGCCTGCTGTCTTCTCCCCTAGGGAGACATTGCTTTGCACATCTGCTAGTGCGCTGGTGTTAAACACCTGCTAACACAATCCGAATGGCCTCACTGGTCTTTGGGGCTCTGGTCACTTTTCTTCAGTCTTTTTCCTCTTTATTCTTCAGATTGGTTAATTTCTGCTGATCCGTCCTTAAGGTTACTGATCCTTTATTGTTTCATCTCAGATCGATATGGATGTGGTACAGAGAATTTTCCATTTCATTGTACTTTTCAACTCTAGGATTTCTATTGTTTCTTTGGTAGTTTTTAATTTTTAATGAGATTATCCCTGACTCATTATTATCCTATTTTTAAAAAAATTCTTGGCACCTGTTCACAGTGACTGCCTTGAGGTCTTTAAGTGCTGAACCCGCAGCTGGCCACACACTCAGCCTCTACTGGCTGCTCTTCTGTGTGTGGGCCACACATTCCTGTGCCTTTGATGTCTCCTAATTTTTTGTTGGAAATTGGGTACTTTGGATAAGGTACTGGAGCAGTTCCCCCAGAGCTGTTGTTTTTGGGTTTTATTGTTTTGTTTGTTTCACTTTAGAAGCATGCCTAGACTTAACCTGTAAGTCCATCCCCCATGATGTGAGGTCACTGATGTCTGGGTTCTGGTGTTTTGTTATGTTTTCAATTTTAATTTTTATAGAAACAAGGTCTCACTTTGTTACCTAAGCTGGAGTGCAGTGATGTGGTCATGGCTCACTGCAGCCTTGAACTCCTGGGCTCTGGTAGTCCTCCCGCCTCAGTCTCCCAAGTAGGTAGGACTACAGGCATGTGTGACCACTCCCAGCTCCTGTTTTGTTTTGTTTATTCTTTTTTTTTTTTTTTTTTTGAGGCGGAGTCTCGCTCTGTGGCCCAGGCTGGAGTGCAGTGGCCGGATCTCAGCTCACTGCAAGCTCCGCCTCCCGGGTTTACGCTATTCTCCTACCTCAGCCTCCCGAGTAGCTGGGACTACAGGCGCCCGCCACCTCGCCCAGCTAGTTTTTTTTGTATTTTTTAGTAGAGACGGGGTTTCACTGGGTTAGCCAGGATGGTCTCGATCTCCTGACCTCGTGATCCGCCTGTCTCGGCCTCCCAAAGTGCTGGGATTACAGGCTTGAGCCACCGCGCCCGGCCTGTTTTGTTTATTCTTATTTTTATTTTTTAGTCTGGCTTCCTAGGTGTTGTCCTTGTATCTGATCTGCACAGCTTAGTGCTTAGGCAGTGATCAGTCAGAAGTTGTGTTTAAATACTGCCCTGAAGGCTTCTGCCCTTTGCCATTGGGTTGGAAAGTGCACTCCAAGTTCAGGCACTTTTTAATTCTTCCCTGGCCTCCGTTTTTCTCAGGGCTTCCCAGGTTTTTCCCACATGTGTGCACCCCTCCATCAGTCAGAGATATGCGGAGGGCCTGCTCTCCCTCTGTGACACCCTCCTTTCCATGATCTCCCACTTACCTCCTGAATAGTCTGGTCTGCTGCTGGCCCCAAGCAGGATGTGGCCTGAGGCTGGAAAGCTGTGGGCTTTCCCCATCTGTTTCCTTCATTGCTGTTTTTACGGACAGTGCTGCAAATCAAGGTGTGAGGGATTTTCATCCTGTGATCCAGATCACGTAGCCTTCATGGCCCTGGGAGTGCTGTGGTGCTGGGTTCAGGGGCAGGTGTATGGGGTGGGAGCAGCCCCTTACCCCAGCAAGAACTCCACACACTCCACTGTTCTCACCTGGAGCCAGCAGTTTGTCATGAACAAATGCTCCTCAACTTGTTTGCCTTTGGTTAATTTCCAGAGCCTCCAAATCATTGTTGTGTGTATGTATGTATGTTTACAATTTTGCCTTGTTTTATAGTTTTTTTAGGGGGGAGAGGCTCTGCAGAACTCTTTACTCCCTCATTGCTCAAATTCCCTATCTTTTAAAGCTGATGATATTTCCAACTTGTCATGACTGCTTGAGAGCTAATGGTACAAAATGTCCTGTTACATTTCAGAGAACTTGACTCATTCATGTGGTGATGTGCAGTGCTGGTTGCTAAGGGAACATAGAGACAAGACTTGGTCTTACAGATCTGCCACACTCCATTTCTTTCTGCTTTTGAATATGCTATAAATTAAAATATTTTCTGATCATAACTGCATCAGTGTTGGCCTTTAAACAGTTTATTCTAGTTCTAATTCTGTGAGAAATATATAGGATTTAAATCTTTAAAAAAATCACAGCAGTGTTTTCAGTTACTAATACATAATGAAGATAATTTCCTTTTTTTAAAAATTATAGTTTGTTCTGTCAATCAAAACCAAGAGAGAAGATTGTTCCCAAGTGGCATGAAAAGCCCTACGAGTGGAATCAGGTGAGTGGGACGCAGGCTGCTAGCGAGTAGAGGCCACGTGGAGAAGGGGACAGGCCCAGGGCAGACCCAAGGTTCAGAGCCAGGGCTGACTGAGGGACCGAGAGGCAGAGACAGGAGGCAAAGTGGATGGCTTCGGGGGCCAGCCGGCAGATATCTCAGACCAGATAGGGTGTTTTTGCACAGCATCCTCTACGTGATGTCCTGGCAAAGAGTGAGACACCAGGATAACTCACTGCCCCGTGAGTTGGGAAAAAACAGGTATGAAGGTCTGGATTGGACCCTCCTGCTCTTGGTGGTCTTCGGGAAATGCGCCTTGGCTGTTCCTGCCGCGTGACTGGCTTGGTGGCTTTCAGGCTCTACTGGTTGTTATCTTTGTTTGCTTGGGCTGCCGGCACAGTGCCACCATGGGTAGGGGCTTAGAAACAGCAGACATTTGTTCTCACAGCTCTGGAGGCTGGAAGTCCTAGGGCAGGTGCCAGTTTGTGGATCCTTGTGAGGGACATCTGCAGATGGCCACCTTCTCATTGTGTCCCCACGTGAAAGAGAGACATCCTCTTTTAGGGCACAAATCCCATCCTGGGGGCCCCACCCTTATGACCTCATCTAACCCTTGTCACCTCCCAGAGGCCTCATCTCCAGATACCATTACAGTGGGGGTTCAGACTTCAGTGAAGGAATTTTCAGGGGCCACAGTTGAGTCATGAAGAAGGAAAAAGCCCTTCATAGGCTCCCTGATACTTCCTGTCTGTAGGGCTAGAAATGGAACAAAATGTGATTTCAGAGAAGGGAGCCCAAAGGAATTTGGAGATTTAATTCTGGAGCCAGGGATGTCTTTAGATATAAAGCAGCAGGGGCAGTCTTTCCTCTCCCCTTTGGCGATCTAAGTGAGGTTCTACTTTGGGGGGGCTGTGTCCCATCCTGCGCCTAAAGGTTGCTCCTGCTGTGAAGCTAGTCTGCTCCCCATGTGCCCTGCGCCTAGGTCCCGCTTTAGGGACCCCAAGGCTGATCGCAGCAGCTGGCCCAATTATGTGCAGAGCTCCATGGGCAAGGAGAGGGGCAGCCACACCAGCCCCTGTGGCCTTCAGGCTCAATTGGAGTGTCTGAGGGTGATGAACTAGCAGGACTTTTTTGAAAATAGAATTTCACTTTGAGGTTAGTATGTTTTAGAAAATTTCAGTGTTTTCAAAACCTGTAATGCAATTACCATCCACATTTACATATGCATGCATGGGAGATTTCTCGGTAAAGCTTGCCATAGTATTAATCATGAATTTATTTTTTTTTTTTTTTTTTTTTTTTTTTTTGAGACGGAGTCTCGCTCTGCCGCCCAGGCTGGAGTGCAGTGGCCGGATCTCAGCTCACTGCAAGCTCCGCCTCCCGGGTTCCCGCCATTCTCCTGCCTCAGCCTCCCGAGTAGCTGGGACTACAGGCGCCCGCCACCTCGCCCGGCTAGTTTTTTGTATTTTTTAGTAGAGACGGGGTTTCACCGTGTCAGCCAGGATGGTCTCGATCTCCTGACCTCGTGATCCGCCCGTCTCGGCCTCCCAAAGGGCTGGGATTACAGGCTTGAGCCACCGCGCCCAGCATGAATTTATTTGTTTGCAACTTTTATTTTAGATTCAAAGGGTACATTTGCAGCTTTTGTTACCTGGGTATGTGGCATAATGCTGAGGTTTGAGGTACAATTAATCCCATCACCCAGGTACTAACCATAGTATCCAATAGGTAACTTTTCAATCCTTGCCTCCCTTCCCCATCTAGTGGTCCCCAGTGTCTCTTGTTCCCATCTTATGTCCATGAGTACTCAATGTTTAGCTCCACTTTTAGGTGAGAACATTTACAGTATTTGGTTTTCTGTTCCAGCATCAATTTGCTTAGGGTAGTGGCCTCCAGCTGCATCCTGATTGCACAATTTCATTCTTTTTAATGGCTGTGTAGTATTCCATGGTATATGTGTACCACATCTTCTTTATCCAATCCACTGTTGATGGGCACCTGGGTTGATTCCATGTCTTTGCTATTGTGAACAATGCTGTGGTGAATATGTGAATGCATGTGCCTTTTTGGTAGAACAATTTGTTTTCTTTTGGATATATACTCAAGTAATGGAATTGCTGGATCAAATGGTAGTTCTGTTTTAAGATTTTCGAGAAATCTCCAAACTGCTTTCCACAGTGGCTGAACTAAGTTATATTCCCACAAATGGTGTATAAGCATTCTCTTTTCTCTGCAGCCTTGCCAACATCTATTGCTTTTTTGACTTTTTAATAATAGCTATTCTGACTGGTGTGAGATGGTATTCTGTGGTTTTGATTTGCACTTCTCTGATGATTAGTGATGTGTGGAGCATTTTTAAATGTTTTTGGCCCTTGAGTGTCTTCTTTTGAGAAGCGTTCATGTCTTTTGTCCATCTTTAATGGGGTTATTTAAACATGAAATTAAAAATGAATTATCAAACATATAGTATGAAGTGCGAGAGTAGAGAAGTGTTCTGTAAATATTTTTGGAGAACTGAATTATACTTTGTGCATCCCGGATGTTAATGCATGTGTATTTTATGTCTGGAAACGCTGTCACAGAGCCTGACTGGTCCTCTTGTCTACCCCGTTAGGTTGATCCAAAGCTGGTCATGGAGCAGGCCGACCGTGAGAGCAGCAGAGGGAAGAACACCTTTCTCTACCAGCTCCACAAACTGGTTGTGCTCGGCACCTGAGCGTGTCCACAGGCTGCCTCCAGCACACCCCTCAGGAAGCTGCGGAGGGTGGATTCCAGGCTCCCTCCGCAGACTGACTTTCCTCTGTGTCTGGACGTTACAGTCTGTGCCCACTGCATCCTAAAGGCCTTTTCTTTCTTCTTTTCTCTTTGGGTGATAGTCAGAGAGTGGTGTTTTTGTTCAGGTGGGAAGGATTGGAAACTCTAGTCTTTTCTAGAAACAGAAAATCACTGTATTAAATATTTTGGAAAAATTGTTCTGAAAGAAGACTGTTTGGATAAAGAGCTATATTTTGCTTTAAATTTATGAAGGTAAATATAAGTAGTTAATCTTAGATGTAATGTTCCAGAATGTGCCTACATATTCTATTCTGTTACAGTGATTTCAACCAGTAGTCCAGGAAAAAACTTAAAAAACAAAAAAACCATGTAGTATATTCTGATTTGTTTTTTCCATGAGGGAAAATATCTAATTTTTGTAAGACTAAGTTGAGTTATAGTTCTTGGTTCACATTTTGGAAATCAGAGATTACATGGCCATAGCTTATCTGTGTTAAAACAATAAAAGCATTAGATGAAGTTTCTGTTTCTGACAGTTTTTAGTCAGAGGAGGTTAAGGTGTATTTAGTTCTAAAAAATCTGAAATTATAAAACTGATACAGGGATACAAGACCTCTTTTAAAAACTCAACTCACATCAGTAAGGATTTGGTCAGAACAGAGCTGTTGTAAATACAGCAGTGAAAGACGCCAGTGAGCTCACACATGTGAGAGGGAAGCTGTAGGATCAGAGAAATGCTCTGCTTAAACCGACTTGTCCCAGGTGGACAATTTGAAGATCATGAGGAAACAGGAGAAGCATGTGTGTGTGGGCATTAGCTTGGGATCATAAACGGGAGCTTGTGTGGGGTCTCGGAAGCCGTCACATCTTGGGGAGCACCGGTGCTGTGCTGAGCCTCTGTGGGTTCGCTGGCCAGCAGCGGGAAACTAGCAGATGCCAAGCGGGAAGACCACCAAGCAGCTGCAGTGGCCAGGCGGCACTGCACCCCTGTCACTGGGCCACTGTCCTGGCCTTCTGGGGAATGTGCTTCCCAGCCTTAGATAGGAAGCAGTCATACCAAGTTGGCACACACGGAGAGCTCTTGGAAGGGTTTGAGCACACCCAAAACTTAGTTCAGCTTTAAAGTGAAGGTTTTGCCCGTTGTCAGCAGCCCTCTGGGGAAGCCTCTGGGGAAGGCAGCAGATGCTTTGATTGGTTTTTCTCTTTGCTGACCTATGAGTACTTAGTCCATGTGCACAAAGTTACCATGTGTGGCCTTAGCAGTAGGGGGCGCTCACAACGGTCAAGCACTCCTGTTTGCTTTTTAACCAGACTTTTAGTAAGTGGTTAAAAATTTAGGCCAGGTACAGTAGCTCACACCTGTAATCCTAGCACTTTGGGAGGCTGAGATGGGAGGATTGTCTGAGCCCAGGAGTTCAAGCCTTCAGTGAGCTGTGAGTGTACCCCTGTGCTGCAGCCTGGGCAATAGGGCAAGACCCTATCTCAAAAAAAAAAAAAAAATTAAGTAGTACCAAGAGGCTTGTTTAAAAACAAAAACACACAACTCTCAAAGGAAACCATACTATTCCCTATATTTTTCTGGGATTGCTGTCATCTTGCTGAGGAATGTTTTTGTTCTGCTTTTTTGTGATTGCCATCCTAGCCATCAGCTGTTGAGCAGTAGATAAATATTGGCTCCTTCCCACTGTTCTGCACCTTCTTTGCTATGTCCCCGCACGATCACAGCAATATCACTGGCCAGGTCAGTCATTGTGCTTTATAACATGGATTTTGTAGATAGCAAAGAAAATTATCTTCTGTAAAACCAAGTGGTGCATTCTGATTGCGTTGCCTTCCTTATCTGTCTTAAGAGGGTACTTGCCTTGTTTATTTGCAAAATTGTCTTCATATTTAAATATGTATTAATGTTCTTAGTATAATAATACATGTCCATGACACAAAATGAAGACATTTGAAAAGGGTCTCTAGTGAAGTCTCTCATGCCCAGCCCGAGTGCTCCTCAGAGGGAGGCTGTTTCATCCCGATGCATCCTGTCAGCACGCCCTGTGTTCCACACACTGTCACGGACGCTGAAGATCCACTGCGAGCAAAGTGGCCCAGGTGTCACCGCACTCAGGGAGCAGTGGGTGGAGGCAGATGGTGGTCAGACGTGTCAGGTGGCAGAGTGAGAGCTGTCAAGCGGCAGGACAGGAGTGTGCATACTTGTGTTTGCTTTGTGGGCCACGTGCTTGCTGCTGCTGCTGTTCAGCTTTGTGTTGAAGCTCAGGAGTAGCCATAAACAAATGAGCAGGGCTGTGTTCCCGCAAAACTTGATTTATGGAAACAGGCGTCAGACTTGAGCTTGGGTCTTAGCTGCTGATCCTGTGATGGGGGGAGGTACAGGGAGCGACTCTGCTTTAGAGAAGCAGCTGGGGACAGCCTTTCCCCTGTGACATTCAAGCAGAGGCCTGGCCCAGGCTGCACTGGAATAGCTGAGAGGAGGTGTGTGAGGCCCCAAGGAGGCAGCAGGCCTGGTGCACATGAGGAGCCACCAGGCGGCCCGTGCAGCTGGCACAGAGTGTGGAGGGTACCGGTGGTCAGGCTGGAGAGCAGCCAGGCCGTGTGGGCCACAGGCAGGTTTTGGGATTTACTCTGAGTGAGGTGGGGAGCTCCTGGAGTGTTTTGAACAAGAGAGTGTCATGCCTTGATGACGTTTTGAGAAAGATTATTCTGACTGCTGCATGGGACACAGGGTACAAAACCAGCACAGCTAAGTCCAGGAAGAGACACTGGTGTGCAGCAGGGGGGGAGCAGTGGAAGGGCAGGGTGGCCAGACGGGACGTGCACCAGAGAGACAGCAGAGTGACCAGAGGCAGACGGGGCACCATGGCTCAGAAGAAAAGGTTCTCAGAGGCACCATGGTGGTGGGCAGAGTGGTGTCCCCTCCCTGGACATAGCCTGGGGCGATGTCCATGTCCAAACCCCCACAACTCCCTATAAATGTGACTGTATTTGGGAAAAGGGTTTTTTGCCAGTGTGACTGAGTTAAGGATCTCAAAATGAGGTGATTGCCCTGGATTTAGGATGGGACCTGAAGCCAATGACAAATGTCCTGATAGAGGAGAAGGCCAGTGAAGGCAGAGGCTGAGGTCGCAGCGAGGTGGCCACAGCCACAAAAGACCTGGGGCTGCTGGAGGCTGGGAGAGGCCAGGCCAGGCTCTCCCTGGTGCCTTGGAGGGGAGTGTGGGCCCTGGACGCCTTGGTGTGGGAGTTCTGGCCTCCACAGCTGTGGGAATCCATCTCTGTTGAAAGCCCCCCGTTTGTGGTTATGTGTCCTGATGGCCCCAGGAGGAGAATCCAACCAGCGTCTTCTGGGTCCTTTCGGAGCTCATCTCTTCATGTATGGACACAGGCCTCTTTATTTTCATGAGTCATTGCATGCTGCACATGCTGATCTCTACCTTGACTTTTCACTGACTGCTGTGGATCGCACTGCTAGATCCTACACAAAGAGGTGCCTCATTCTTTTTAAGTGCTTCATGGCTTTATCATTTTATTGATGTTTCATAATTAACGACGCCTCCACAACGGGCATTTGGATAGTTTCTAGTCTTACTATTATACGCAGTGTCGCGATGGATGTCCTTGTGTACCTGTCATTTCACATGTGCATAATTTATTATAGAATAAATTCCTAGGATTGAGATTGCTGAGTCAGAAGGCGTTTAGTAAATCACTCCATTCCTAGATGTTGCCACATCGCTCTCCATAGAGCACACGCTCCCCGCAGCACTATAGGACAGTCCATTCCCAGACTCACCCTCCGAGTTAGGACAATGTTGGACACTAAGGAGATGCCCTTTCTCTCTGGCGGATGAGTAGTCTTGAGTTTCTCCTTATGAGTGGGCTGAGCATTCTCAGAGGCTAAGGACCATTGGCTTCTTCTTGTATGTGAACTGTTTATATCTTTTGCCAGGCTTTCTTTGTGTTAAAATTGATTTTGTTATGTAGTTTAGTTTATGAATTTTTTATGCCTTCTCAAAAAGTGTTTCCCCTAGTTTGACATTATTAGAATTCTCTCCCATATTTACTTCCAGTACTCTTGTGGTTTGATTTTTTACATAAAATTTACTGAGGTAAAATTTACATATGAGGATTGCAAAGATTGCCTACTAGGCGTTCTTTCAGAAGTTCCATAGTTTTAGCTTTTATATTTAGGACTGTGACCCATTTCAAGTTTTGTTTTAAATTTTTTGCTTATTTTGTTTTTTTTGGGGGGGGGGAGGTGGGTGAGGAGAATTGGCGGTGATGAGAGGTTGATTTGTTTTTCCATACATTTTGTGAGAAAAATATACTCTGACCCCAAATTCAATTACCTGGGAAACTTTATAAAAAATTAGTTGACTATATATGGTCACAACTGGATTCTCTTCTGTTACATTGGCTTATATGTCTGTCCTTAAAACAGTAATGCCATACAATACAATATTGATTATTGCAGCTTAAAATGCTAAGCCTTGAAATAAGATTGTGGAAGTCTTCCAAATTTGTTTCTTTCAGAATGGTTTTAGTATTCTAGATCTTTACCTTGCCTTATAAAGTTTGGGCTCAGCCTATGAATTTTTACAAAAATGCCAGCTGGAATTCCAATTGAGATTGTGTTGAGTCTATGACTATTTGGGGAGCACATCTTGAAAACTGATGAACAAGATATCTTTCACCATTTACTTAACTCTTCTTTAACCTTCCTTCACTACTGCTTTATTCCTAAGTATCTCATGTTTTTACTATTGTAAAAGTGATTTTCTTTTGGCATTATGAAAATTTTCAAACATATAGCAAAGTTAACTTTACAGTGAACATCAGCATATTCACCACCTAGATTTTACATTACCACTTTACTTGTTTTATCACTTATTTATCAATTTCTCTATTCTTCAATCCATCTTGTTTTTTGATGCATTTCAAAGTAAACTTGACAGCATTACACTTCCCCTAAATACTTCAGCATACATACTAGTTGCAGTGTTTGTTTCCTTTTTTCTTTTTTTGTGAAATGTATATGCGGTGAAACATGTAAATCTTAAGTTTATCCAGTGAGTACTGGTGAGTAGAACCAAACCCCAAGATACAGGACATTATCATCACCCAGAAAATTCTCTCATCTCCCTTCCTAGGCAGCCTCTCACTCACAGAGAAGCAGCCACAGTTCCGAGTATTTTCTCCACAGATTAGTTTTGCCTGTTCTAGAACTTCAGTTAACATATTATTTTTTAGAAGTTGATTAACACACCTTATTTTTTTAAGGCAGTTTTGGTTTTACAGAAAAATTGAACATATAGTGCCGAGAGTTCCCCTGTGCGTCTGTCTCCTCTCTCTTCTCCACACAGTCCCTGTTACCGACATTGCGTGTTCATGTGGCACATTTGTGACAGTTGGTGAACCAACATTGACCGACGTCGCGTGTTCATGTGGCACGTTTGTGACAGTTGGTGAACCAATATTGACCGACGTCGCGTGTTCATGTGGCATGTTTGTGA